TCAGTGGGCTTTTGAGTAAGGCAGACTCCCAGGAACACGACCTAAAACAGGTGGACTGATCCAGCAGACTCTTGCTTTGGGGTCTATATAGAAAAATCAATTTTAAGTACAGAAATACTCTGATACAGATTGGGACCAAAAAGGCATTCTTAGGTGTATTCTCACTTGCTCGCTCTTCCTCCCTCCCTCCCTCCCTCCCTCTCTCCCTCCCTCTCCTCTCTTTCTCTCTGACTTTTGGGCCACACCTGGCGGTATTCAGGGCTCACTCCTGGCTCTGCACTTAGGGATCACTCTCGTGGGGCTCAGGGGATCTTACAGGGGTGGCAGAGATCGAACCTGCATTGGCTGTGTGCAAGGCAAGAGCCTTAACTGTTGCTCTCTCTCTCTCTGGCAGCTTCCTTTAGTTCTGGTTAGTTAGATCATGAAGTGGGGCCCTCTTTTTTTTTTTTTTTTTTTTTTTTTTTTATTTATTGAATCACTGTGGGAAAGGTTACAAAGCTTTCAGGTTTATGTCTCAGTCATGCAAATATCAAACACATTTCCCTTTACCAATACTTATTTTTTCCCATGAAGAACCCCAATAAAACCCCACCCCCCACCCCTCCCCGTCCCTGTGAGGCAGATGAATTCTAGTTAACACTCTATCCGCTTTGATTAGATTGTTTCAATAAAAGATTCACCACTATTATTTAGAGTTTACCCCCCCCCCCCCAAATCAGACATGCTGAAAAAGCATTGTGAAGTGATTTGCTTTCTCCAGCTGGGTTCAAGAATTAAATGTTGGTTTTGGATTTCTGCTATTTTACTTATTGACCCTGGAAGTATTTCTACTGAAAGTCAGATAGTTAAGAAATTGGTTTCTGTGTTCTGGAGTCGTGGCCGTGCTGGAGAGCCGCTCGTGGGGGGCAACTGGTGGCCTCGGTAGGGCATGAAGGGCGGAGCGAAACGCCCCCCTTCCCATGAGGTTTTAGTCGCCCCCACACTCCCGGCTCATACCTGCTGTCCACAAGGCTCCCATGTGGCCGCCATCTTTCTTTCCAGAGAGGAGAGGGCGAATGGGGCAACACCCTTTCCCCTCCGGCAGACTTGATGGGCTGGATCAATGCATAGTCCATTCACTTTTCTGCTCCAAGCTGCTGGGTTCTGCATTAAGTCCTTGTGCTTCTGGGGCCATGGCCGTGCTGGAGAGCCGCTCGTGGGGGGCAACTGGTGACCTCGGTAGGGCGTGAAGGACGGACCGGAACGCCCCCCGACCCATGAGGTTTTAGTCGCCCCCACTCCCCCGGCTCATACCTGCTGTCCACAAGGCTCCCATGTGGCCGCCATCTTTCTTTCCAGAGAGGAGAGGGCGAATGGGGCAACACCCTTTCGTGGGGCCCTCTTCATGCAGTGTTGGAGCCTGATCTCAGGGCTGTTCTCCCAGCTTGAGCCGTCCTAGGTGGTTTCTGCCAGCTGGTGGAAGAAGCGGGTCCAGCCAGACTCCTGTCAGTGGGAAGTGTGCGAACAGTCCACCCCCTGCAGAGAACCTCCTGCTCCCAGCCCTCCGCCCTCGGCTGGATTCTAGTCGTGGATCTCTGTGAGGTGCTCTCCCTCTCCCAGTCTTAGAACTGAAAGGGCCTGGGGTGAGCTGCTGGCCTTATGCGGGCAGACAAGGAGCCGGGGGTTGGGCTGAGGAGAGGAGGTTGTGAAAGCATGGAATGTTTGATTTTAAGATTTCAGAAGCGGACCATTTTGCGGGCAGGGGGTGGCCAGATGCTGAGTGTAACTAGGAAAGAGGTGCTGATTTGAGTTGTGTGCTGTCCACTGAGGTAATCATTAACATGTTTTTAGATCTTAAAATGTTCTACATGGGGCTGGAGTGATAGCACAGCAGGTAGGGCGTTTGCTTTGCACGCGGCCGACCCGGGTTCAATTCCCAGCATCCCATATGGTCCCCTGAGCACCGCCAGGAGTAATTCCTGAGTGCAGAGCCAGGACTAAGCCCTGTGCATTGCCAGGTGTGACCCAAAAAGCAAAAAAAAAAAAAAAAAAAAAAAAAAAAAGTTCTACAGATGCCGCACCTCAAAGTATATAGTAAGCAGAGTGTTTATTTAAAATTACTTTTAAAAAAGTTGTTTACAGAGATGTGGATTTACATAATTTGGCGACAACATTTTAAAAATGTACAGGCTATTTCATATTATTGCACTTACTCTTTTAATATATAAGGCATTTTATATTACATAAATAAAGGATAATGGATACTATCATACAATAGGTGTGGTGCCACTTAAGTCAACCATGAAATTAAATGAGATGTGTTTGGAAGGAGAGCAATGAAACCCCACCTACTTCACGGAATAGCTTTGCAACTATGATTTACATGTTATAACACATATTTACCCTCATAGCTTATTGTGAACGATGAGTTAGAAAACAGAAACAATGAAAATCTTGAGTAGGACAATACCATTAGTGCTCACTTCAGCAAGTGTGAAATCAGACTAATCAGAAACACTAGCCATGCCTCAAACACTGAAGACGAAGAAATAGTTTTCTATCTCCGGGTCAAAGACAGCTGAGCTTTTGCTTCCTCCTGTCTATTCCAGCTGTCAACCAGGAAACACTTGTGGCAGCCCCCGGGGGGAGGGGCTGGTGCCTTTAGTCAGCCAGTGGTCTGTAGCTCTGAGGATGGGGGTCTCAGAAAGATGGCAATGCCTGTGGTGCGACAGGATGACGCGTTGGGCAGTAGGAGGCACAGCTGGAGGAGTGGAGGCAAAAAATCGTTTGCAGCGTTGATTCTATGGTCTCTTTGTCACTCAGGCAAGAAAGCAGAAACCACAAGACGGACCCCAGAGACTGAACAACCGTTGAGCATGCACCTTGCACCGACCCTACCTGGAACTGGAGTGCAAAGTCAAGGTTAAATGAATCGGGTCTTTCTAGCTAGTTCGGCTACTACATTCTCGTACATAAACCTGTGAGAAGAAAGGAACGACCTGGACTCACGAGACCCTAGCCAGAGCCCTCTGGGGGGATCGCTGGGGGCCAGCCCCACAGAGCTTCACGAGGATTCAGAAAAGGGAGGTACAGAGGGGATGGGCTAAGGACCTACACGATCGATCGGGGTGTAATGAGCTCTTTTTTTTTTTTCCAAAGCCATCCCCAAAGCTATAGGTTAAGGACAGCTCCAACGTAAAACCTGAGCGTCATCAAGCATGCAGGCATGCAGTATCGCCCCCAAAGCGGTAGGTGAAGGAAATCTCCAACATAAAACCTGAGTGTCACCATGCACGCAGGCATGCAGCTCGCACCCCCCCGAAGCTTGGGTTAAGGACAGCCCCAATGTAAAACCTTAGCGTCACCATGCATGCAGACATGCAGTCTCGCCCCCCAAAGCTGTAAGTGAAGGAAGTCTCCAACATAAAACTTATTGCGTCGCCATGCATGCAGACATGCGATCTTGCCCATGTTCTGGGCTTTCGTTAGCGGGCCTGTGCACCCACAATAGTTACCTTGAAAGAGTGACTCAACCCCTTGCTCTCCATTTTCTCTCTCTCTTTTTTTTTTTCTTTTGGGCTACTCCTGGCTTAGTGCTCAGAGGTTGCGCCTGGAGGTGCTCAGGGAACCATGTGGTGTTGGGGATCGAATCTAGGTCTCCCACATGCAAAGCATGCGTTCCAACCCACTGAGCTCTCTCTCCAGTCCCTCCATTTTCTTAATATCGGTTCTGGTAAATGGAGCTGCAGAGGGTTTGGAACTGAAGAAGGTGCGATGTGAGGCGAGAAAAGCCAATTTGGTGAACGGCCCATCTGATGCTGATGGGAACAGCTACTATGAGACAGCTCATGCTTCCAAAGGAGAAAGCAGCTCACGCATTCTTGTGCAGGGAAGCATGTTTGGCAAAACGGGAAAACGGCAGAAACTCCAGCCCCTGCAAAGCAGGGTCATTACACCCAGGTCAAGAGAGATCCAGTCGAGATTTTGCTTTTCTTAAGCTTGTGTTGGGGTGGGGTGGCACACGTGTAAATAAAAAGTTCCCCAAAGGAGTATTTTAAGCTCTTCTATTGGTTTGCAAATAGAATGCTTATGTTGAGGAATCCAAGGATGCTAAAAAAGATACTTGATCTCTACAAATTTGAAATTAATGGTCGGAGAGTGTAACATATCGAAATGGAAACTCAGTGATGTATCTCCTGCCTGCTTTTGTGTTGACCACGGTTGAATTTCAAGTATGTAGTCAAGACGAGTTCCAAAATAAGATGCAAGGTGCTTTCAGGGCGGGAACTTCTCGTTTGCTCCCAGCAGCGAAGTTCATGGCTATTTAGAACACTGGGCTGGACTGTCTGTCTATAAAAACAGCCTCATGACTTTACAACTTACAAATCGTGATCAACACTTCATGGGGATCAGTCACCCACTGAGTTGAACTCTGCATCTGTAGGTGGCACATTAAACTCATTCTTTAAAAATACCTCTTTTCTCTATTTCGCTTTTTCATTTGTGGGTAATTCCTGAGCTCAGACTAACCAATTAGGTCATAATTACATAATCCTCTCTCTCTCTTTTTTTTTTTTAAAGTTTCTTTTCAAGGTATAAGACAGACCTACAGCTCCTCTTTCCATGGGCTGAGTCTAAAATCATTCTAGGATTTACTTATAAAATTCTATAAAACTAGAGTCCTTTTCGTGGTGGCATTTGTGTTGCCCCTGTGACTTCAGTCACTCCCTGACTGCCGGCTGGGTGGGTTGGGGGAGGAGGTGGCGAGGAAGATGCGAAGGTGTCGCCGTGTCCAGTGAAGGGCGCACCACATCTTGTCCCCCATCAGTAGACAGAGGCAGGGGAGAGGCACTGGCCTGGGGGATCCAGGTAGGAGGCTTCCAGGGGTCGGCTCGGTCGGGGCTAAGCAAAGACCTGGAAGTTTTTGACAGTCCTGGCTGAAAAAGAATGTCTCTGTTGTTTCAGGGGAGCAGTATTTAAAGAGTCCTTCGGGTCTGCTAACTTAAGAAGGGAACAAAGATGAGGAGGTTCTTAGCAAAACAAAACAGAACAGAACAAGCACCGCCCGCCGGCTCGGTGTGGGCTGGATTCAGGAAGAATTCCGGTGCTTTCTGATCACCAACTGCACGGGCCCCTCGGGGACAGACTTCATAATATTCCAGGCATCGAAGTGCATGAGCCCCACGAGGGGCTTCCCGTTGATGGCAAGGATTTCATCTCCAGCTTCTATTGTTCCGGCTTGTTCAGCGGCACCACCTGTGAAAACAAACGCAGGCTACCAGCTGGGTACGCAATAGGTTTCACTGTAAGTCCCAAGGAAACTGAAAATGATGTATCCTTGGGATGAACCAATACCTTAAGACATACAGTGTGTGTACTCAGAAAAATAAGACTGTAAAATGCAATATGTTAAATCCAGATCCGATCAAAACTACAAATCAATAACGACAAAATAAATGGGGCCAGAGTGATAGTACAGCCGGCAGGGCGTTTGCCTTGCACGCAGCCAACACAGCCAACCCGAGTTCGATTCCTCCGCCCCTCTCGGAGAGCCCGGCAAGCTACCGAGAGTATCTCGCCCGCACGGCAGAGCCTGGCAAGCTACCCATGACGTATTCGATATGCCAAACACAGTCACAACAAGTCTCACGATGGAGATGTCACTGGGCCCAACATTATAGGACTAGTAAGTAGAAGGAATGCAGACTGAATTTCTAGTGTAAACCAATCTCGGCTGATAGATTCAGGTCTGCACATCTGATTACATACTCCTCTGTGATGCAGGAGATTAATTCTTTTTTTTTTCTTTTTGGCTCCCCCTCACTTTTATATTTGACTTTACCTCCTGGCTGGAGCCATAGCACAGCAGGTAGGGTGTTTGCCTTGCTCACAGTCGACCTGGGTTCGATTCCTCCGTCCCTCTCAGAGAGCCCGACAAGCTACCAAGAGTATCCTGCCTGCACAGCACAGCCTGGCAAACTCCCCGTGGTGTACTTGATATGCCAAAAACAGTAACAACAAGTCTCACAATGGAGACGTTACTGATGCCCACACAAGCAAATCGATGAACAACTGGAGGACAGTGCTACAGTGCTTTCTTTTTGGGTCACACCTGGCAAAGCACAGGGGTAAATCCTGGCTCTGCACTCAGGAATTACTCCTGGCGGTGCTCAGGGGACCAGATGGGATGCTGGGAACAGAACCTGGGTCGGCTGTGTGCAAGGCAAACGCCCTCCCTTCTAGACTATTGCTCCTGCCCCAGGAGATTAATTCCTTACAGCCTTGTTTAGCTTCTGTTTGACACCTGGGCCTTTACAGTTGTTACGAAGTAGAATTACTCAATGGGGAATCTTCCTTTGGCTTTCCCCCTTAAGTGCTGCTTTTGAGCTGGCCCCAGTTAATAGGGGGACCCCTCTTGTTTTTTTAAGTTGCACTAGGGACTGGAGAGAGAGGTGAGGGCACTTGTTTGTGGATTGCTGGCCCAGGCTTGACCCAGGCATCCCTTATGGCCCTCTGAGCACACTGGGAGTGGCCCACAAACAAAGTGGCAATACATTTTTTCTTTTTATGACTGTAATGTAGTTTACCTACCATTCTGCAATACATAGAAATTTTTTTTCATAGCTTCCCTTTGGAGATGACTGCGTACTTGAGAGTATGAATCAGTGCTCTTCTCTTTCCATTTCCTTGCCAAAACATTGTAGTGTGAGATTCTTATTTCTGGTCATCCTAAATTTTTTTAAGAAAGGATTCCTAGTAGGATTTTCAGCTAGTCGCTAATATAGGTTCGAGACTTGTTTTGATTTTGGGCCACACCTGGTGCTGCCCGGAGGTTATTCCTGGCTGTCCACTCAGGAATCACTTTTGGTGGGGTTTGGGGGACCACAGGGGATGCCAGGAATCAAATATGGATCAGCTATATGCAGGGTAAGCACCTAACTCGCTGTACTATCGCTCTGGCCCAAATTTAAATATGTTTTTGTCCTGTTTCTTGGCTATTAAGGTTTTAATTTTTAAGGAGGTGGGGGTTGGGCCCACAACCCAGTGTTGCTTCGGGGGCTATTCCTGGCTCTGCCCGCGTGTAGTGCCAGGGCTCTGTCAGGTTTTGAGATGCTCAGCAAGTACCTTCTCCCTTTTACTCTCTCTTCAGCCCCTGGGATTTTTAACTCACTGAAAATAGGATGTATAAAATACATATGTGCATAAGATGTGAAAATAGGATGTACTGGTGGGATTGGTGTTGAAATATTGAATGCAATCAATTATTGTGAACAACTTTATAAAAATAAAGATATCGACCTCTTTGCATATTAAAAATAAATGATCTAGTATTTTTAAAAAAGAAAATAGGATGTAAATATTAAGCATTGCTATAGTATAGAATGGAAGTATCTTTTCTCTGATTTAACATCTTCTCTAGCTTTATAAGACGGAAGTAGATGGTAATCAGGTTTTATCAGTAATCAGGTTTTATCAGTCAGGTGTCCGGTGGTCAAGGGCTTGGGGTGAGTGAGTTCAGGGCTCCCTCTGCCACTAATACAATCTTCAAGGTACTGTATTTTCCCTAATTACAGTTCCTTAGAGTACGTCTTAGAGTTAATACATTGCAGATATCTTCTGGTCATCACGAATGCGTTTATTTTTTGCTTCTGAATATTTTGCCACTTAGAAGTTAGATATTTTAGGTTTACGATATGTGATCTTTACATTCGGTCTATAGTGTTTTGAGATGATGGTTATTGCCAATATATAGGAAATTCTGTTGTTCTCTAAGTGCTGATTATGGGTTTGTTCTTTTTCCAATTTGGGGGCCACACAGCACACAGCTGTGCTCAGGGCTTACTCCTGGCTCTGTGCTCAGGGGATGATGTGTGGTGCCGGGAATCTAACCAGGGCTAGGTAAGTTCTTTGCTTCCTGAATTAGCTCTACGCTCCCCACCTCCCTATTTTGAATGGACTCCCCCAGTTTACTGGTCTGTGGGTTCTTCCCGCGGATGACAGTGCTCATGAACCACATCAAAGTTCTCCTGGAAGTGCTCTCACGCCAGTTTCCTATTGTTCCTGTGCTCTGTCCTACTGCTATCCTGTTAAAGCACAGGAGCGTTCCCTGCCAGGGTGCTGGAACCACATGCAGGATTCACCTGATTTGTGCTCCTAGGCCATAGACAAGCAGCCCCTTTCCCGGCTGGGAGACGAACCCAAGCCTGGGTCTGCTGTATTCAAGAAACCTGCTTCTAGCCATCATGAGTGCCTGGGATACTCAGCCTCAGCTCCTGGCTGGGCTCAGGCCCAGCAAACCCCCAATCCCCCATCCAGTGGTGCTCAGGGGACTATAAGGGGTGCTGGGGATTGAACCCTGGTCGGCCTTGTGCAAGGCAAATGCCCTACCTGCTATACAATCGCTCCAGCCAAGCCCAGCCTTTTCACTGCAGTTTTTACCTTCTGCAGGTTTATCACCAAGAGCTGCTTTTCTACTTGGATTCATGGAGGGACTTTTATTTTTATTTTTTAATTTTTTGGTTGGGCTGGAGTGATAGCACAGCGGTAGGGCGTTTGCCTTGCACGCAGCCAACATGGCCGACCCGAGTTCGATTCCTCAGCCCCTCTCGGAGAGCCCAGAAAGCTACCGAGAGTATCTCACCCGCACGCCAGAGCCTGGCAAGCTCCCCGTGACGTATTCGATATGCCAAACACAATAACAAGAAGTATCAGGATGGAGACGTTACTGGGCCCGCTTGAGCAAATCGATGAACAACGGGAGGACAGTGAATTTTTTGGTCACACCCAGCGGTGCTTAGGGGACTATATGTGGTGTTAGGGATCGAACCCGGTTGCAGGTAAGAGAAAAGCCGCACCTGCTGTACCATCACTCTCGTCCCAGGGAAGGTTTTTAAAGTACAGCACCATATATAAGAAATCCTTTTTTATTTTTTTGTCACATCCAGTGGTGCTAAGGGATCATTCTTGAGGGTCCTCTGGGGTGCTAGGAGTGAGCTCCTAAACTTCTGTACTCTCTCTCCAGCCTGCTTATTTTTAATTTTTTCATCTTAGTCCTGTGGGCCAGGAGGACGGGAAATACTTCTGTATTACGTAACTGCAGAAATAGAGCACAAACTCCAAAGGAGGGCCTTTCAAGCGAAACAGTAATGCTTGGCTGAGCGGCACTGAGCTTCTTACTTGCTGACCTACTTACTTTACTGTGTGGTAAGCACAAACTTTCTATATGGGTTTCAGACACTAAGTAAATGGCAAAAAATTAGTAGGGGTGGGGTCAAGATGTCACTGTGAATTTGAAGTCTCTTCATGAACTTGAATAATTCATTTTTTGACCTTCGACAGTTCTCAAGGATACATTCAGGTTCCTGAGCCGATCAACTATATTGTCACTGTCACACTGTCACTGTCCTGCCGTTTGTTGATCGATTTGCTCGAGTGGGCCCAGTAACATTGTGAGACTCGTTACTGTGTTTGGCATATCGAATACATCACGGGTGGCTTGCCAGGCTCTGCCTTGCGGGCGAGATACTCTCGGTAGCTTGCCAGGCTCTCCGAGAGGGGCGGAGGAATCGAACTCAGTTTGGCCATGTTGGCTGCGTGCAACACCCTACCCGCTGTGCTATTGGTCCAGCCCATCAACTATATTAACAGTAGCAAAACTTGGTCCCCAGGCATCACCTATAAACAGGCACACCATACTAACAGTGTCAGTATATGTGATTGTAGACATCAGTCACATACACACGTAGGCTGGCATTGTTAGGACAGTTAAACTCAGGAACCTGAAAAAAAATTGTGGGAACTTCCAGGATCATAAACTGAAGATGTAGTTCAATGGTAAGTAGAGACCCCACCTCTAAAATTTTAACAGGCTGGAGGGGAAATTTTGGGGTTAAGGCACTTGCATTGCATGCAAATGACCTCAGTTCGGTCTTTGGCAACACATATGGTCCTCAGAGCACTGCCAGGAGTGAACCAACAGTAAGAGCCCGCAATGAGCCCTGAACACTGCCGGGTGTGGCCCCAAACAAAAAATTTTAACTGTTGAAGTTCATGAAGAGATGTCATATCTTTTTTTGATTTGTTTTTCTTTTTGGGTCACACCCGGCAATACACAGGGGTTACTGCTCCTGGCTCTGCATTCAGGAATTACTCCTGGCGGTTCTCAGGGGACCATATGGGATGCTGGGACTCCAACCTGGGTCAGCCGCATGCCAGGCAAATGCCCTACCCACTGTGCTATTGCTCCAGCCCCGAGATCTCAAATCTTCCATCTACTGCAATGAGGTCTACTGCTCAAAGTATTCCTGAAATTTAGTATTAATAGTTTCAGTCAGGAAGGTCTGGGCCAAGGATGAGGACCCCTGTGGATGGCCTTGTGTCCTAGCGCCAGAAGCCCCCATCACACAGTTGCTGCTTGGCCCCTGGAGCCAGGATGCTGAGTGGGGACTGTGGTATGGCGAGGGGACAGACCGTGCAGACTGTCTGTTTCATGCCTCACGTCAAGTGAGGTGACAGCAGCTTCCCAGCCGGACTTGTGTGCACCACCCGGAGTGTCACATGTGGAACTAACCACAGCACTGGCAGGCCAGAAGTGCCACAGGTCAGGGACACTACAGGGCAGGGGAGGAGGCAGAGCCTTGCACGGATCAGACCCAACTTCCTGTCCACAGTCACTGGACAGGTTGTTACAACACATGTGATTTCCCCGTGGAAGGCCTGCCCCGGAAGCAGGGTGGGCTGCTGGGGGGCTCCCGGGGCCTCACCTTTGTACACTCTCTTGATGAACAGGGGTCCATCTGCAGACATGGCCGCGTTCCCGCCATCCAGACTCAGGCCTAGCCCCGCCGCCGTCTTCAGCACCTGCACACATACGGCATCGGGAATGGCCCCGCGAGAACCTGCAGCGACAGGAAAGTGGCTTGGTGCCCGCGTTACCCCGCAAAGGAGCCATGGCCCGAACACCCAAGACCAGTAGGCTCCCTAATGTTTCCTTTGCTTAGTGTTTCCTCTGTTTTTAGTGTTGGTGGTGCTCAGGGCTTGCTCCTACCTCTCTGTACTCGGGGATCACTCCTGGCGGGGCTGGGGATGCCGGGAATCGAACCTGGTTCACCTGTATGCAAGGCAAGTGCCCTCCTGCTGTCCTATCAGTGTTTTTGTTGCACGTTAGCACTGTTCTGTGTGGGAAGCACATCCCCCCGGCACAGGAGACACTTTGTGTTCCCTGGGAATATCGCCAGAAGTCAAGGCACCTCTTGGCAAGCTCCACGTGTATCTCAGTATACGGCACGTTGGGGGAATCAAACTGTTTCCAGCCAAGCCTCACGGCCTAATGCAAATACCTGCAGCACCCACATGCCAAATTTCAGGTGAGCCTGAGCATGGATCTGGGGCTACCAGGCCCACTGGAGGGGCCGCCTCTGTGGCCCTTTATCTGACAGGCATGCACCTGTAAAGGGCACCCTGTGTCTGGCCCATTACAGAGGGGAGGCAGGGCCAGCCCCGGGCCCATGGGGAGGACCAACCCCACCATGCTGCAGTTGGCTGAGTGGGTCTCGATTCAGGGTCAGAATCAGGTTCTGGGGGCTGGAGTGATAGCACAGTGGGTAGGGCGTTTGCCTTGCACGCGGCCTGACCCGGCTTCGACTCCCAGCATCCCATATGTTCTCCTGAGCATGGCCAGGAGTAATTCCTGAGTGCATGAGCCAGGAATAACCCCTGTGCATCGCCAGCTGTGACCCAAAGAGGAAAAAAAAAAAAAGAACCAGGTTCTGTATGGGGGACTGATCTCCGTTCCCACACGCCCTCTCAGCAGCGAGTGTTAGAACTAGCTGAAAAGGTGCAGAGTTCCTTCAGAAGCAGGAACGAGTCAGGCATGATGTGGCCTCCCCTTGGGGTCGCCACTGAGATCATGTGAGCCAGCCCACGACTGCTTTAACAGCCACGCCACGTGGTCCGAAGGGAACTGAAACCCCACATCGCTCCCTCGGGGATTTGACTCGCCCCTACACAGGAATGACTTGGGCTCGGGCTCATTCTGGGGCTTTCCGCTGGAATCACCTGGGGAGCATAATCAAAAGGCTCCCACGCCTCGGAGTTTGCTTTTGGGGCATCGGGGCTTTCAAAGGCTCCCCAGTGGGCCGAAGGGAAGTGGTACAGCAGGCAGGGCGCCCGCCTTGCACTTGCCTGACCCGGGTTCAATCCCTGGCGTCTCATGGCCCCATGAGCACCTCCTGCCCCCAGGAGGGAACCCTGAGCGCTGCCAGATGAGGTAAAAAAATTATGGCCAAGTGTCCCCACTGCCTCTAACAATGTATTGATGCTCACAATCATGCCAATCATGCCAAAGAGGGACCAACTACCTGGGACCAGGTGGCTGGGGATGGGTGCATTTTTAGGAGTTTGAAGAAGTTGGTTGGAGCGGCCATAGGCTCACAGCTGGGTCACTGCAGGCTGGTTCAAGGCCAGGTACCCCCAAAGGGGGCCCCAGAAGTCCTCACTGATGATTAATGCCGGCCAAGTGAGAACCAAACTGCTCAGGGCCCTGACCCCCAGTCCCCAGCCCCCAGGGGCCCAGCGCTTCCGCTCTCTGGGCGGTGGAGGGGTAAAAGGAGACAGGGCAGGGACAGAAGAGGCTGGTGCCAGGGCTGCTTCTGGACAAGAAGAGGGGCTTGTTTGTCCCGTGGCAAGCTGTGCTTCCCAGCCAAGTCCTCACAAAGAGGACAGCCAGGGCGAGCAGAGACACTCTTGGGGCGGGGGTGGGGGTGGTGCCGAGAGGACACACAAGTACTCCCCAGAAGGCAGGACCTGGACCTCAACTGCTCTGCACTGTGAGGCCCCGGAGGCTGCCAGGGGCCACTTCTGAGCACCAGTGGGTGTGGCTCCCGACCCACGTCCCCCTGTAAAATAAAGGGAGTCACAGACGGCGCTGCCAAGCACCTCACTGTGGAGATGCTTAGGGCAGGAATGCGCCTGAGCTTCAGGGGGAGAAACTGTGTGTGGGGCCCAGAGTGAGAGCACAGTGGAGCGGGTGCTTGCCTCGCATGCGGCCGGCCCGGATCTGATCCCCGGCACCCTATAGGGTCCCCCGAGTACTGCCAAGAGTAATTCCTGAGCACAGAGCCTGCTGGCTGTGACCCCCAAAACCAACAACAGAAAAATTTGGTGTGTTTGAGAAGATTTCCTGCGGTCTGCTAAGCTCTTCTTCTTTTTTTTCTTTTTTGGGTCACACCTGGCGATGCACAGGGGTTATTCCTGGCTCTGCACTCAGGAATTACTCCTGGTGGTGCTCAGGGGACCATATGGGATGCTGGGAATCGAACCCCGGTCGGCCATGTGCAAGGCAAACGCCCTACCCGCTGTGCTATCTCTCCAGTCCCGGCCTGCTAAGCTCTTCTCTTATGATTGGTTGGTCAGGTTGCCATCTGTTCTTTCTTTATTTGGGGGGCCACTCCTCGCTCAGTATTTGAGGGATCATGGGGTGTCGGGGAGAGAACTCAGGCCGCCCCACCTGCAATGCCTGCATGCCTGCCGCTGAGCTCACTCGCTGATGTACCACTGGACTGAGAACATGTATGCGTCCTCACTTTGAGAGGTTCTTCTCACAAAGGGCTCGATACAAACTCTGGTGTCTTCCCTAGGAAAAGATCTTAGTCCTGAGTCTTGCCCTGCTCGGTCTATGCTGCTCCCCATTAATAGTCTCTTATTTAACAGCCACTAACCAAGAAGCGATAGCACAGCGGTAGGGCGTTCGCCTTACAAGCGGCCAACATGGCCGACCCGAGTTCGATTCCTCCGCCCCTCTCGGAGAGCCCGGCAAGCTACCGAGAGTATTCGATATGCCAGACACAGTAACAACAAAGTCTCCAATGGAGACGTTACTGGGCCCGCTCGAGCAAATCGACGATCAACGGGAGGGCCTTTACCTTTACCTTTAACCAAGAAGCAACATGGGTCAGAGATCGGACTGGGGTGAAGGCGCCTGCCTTATGCCAGACCTGGTTCAAGAAACGGCCAGGTGTGACCCTAAACCCTCTCCATCTCCCCCCCCAAAAAAGATGTAATTACAAAAGGGCTTCTTTCTTAGGACAATTGGAGACATTCTCAAGTAATGATTTTAAATCTTACCCAATGTGGGGGGCTGGAGTGTTAGGATAGTGGGTGGGTGCTTGCCTTGCACATGGCCATCCAGGTTCAATCCCAGGCACCCCATAGGGTCCCCTGATTACCGCCAAGGTCAAAGCCAGGAGTATCCTCTGAGCACCTTTGGGTGTGTGACAAAAATTAAAACCTTCCCCAGTGTGGCTTTCAGGATGTGAGGAGTATTGAACGCCACTTGGACACTGCTTTTGCAAGACGCATTCACAGACACTTGGTCACATCTAATTTCTCTGACCAGAAGATCGTTGGTTACTACCACGCCAGCTGCCCACCTCCCTCTGCCCATGGCCGAACTGGCCGCTCACCCAGTGCAGGCTCCGGCGGGGAGCTTCTTCCGGCCAGAGAGCCCTTCCCATTGGCGGTGGGGGGCTCCTGCTGGGGCGTGGGTGGGGGTTGAACGCTCTCTTTCTTGATGACCACGAGGACATTTCTGTGTAGCTGTGCCTGGTGCAGGACCTTCACAACATCACCGTGGTCTAAGCCGGCCAGCGAGATGCCATTGACTGACAGAAGGACGTCACCTCTGTCCACGGTCCCTTCCTGAGAAGCCGCCCCCTGAGAAAATACCCTATGGACCTGGAGGACAGAGACCAAGTTCATGGATGAGCTCGCCTTACTGGTGGGAGAGCCCCGGGGCTGGGACACTTGCCTCGCACGTGGCTGACCTAGGAGAGATCCCTGGCATCCCCTGTGGTCCCCTGAGCACTCCCCAGGGGGAATCCTGAGTGCAGAGTTGGGAGTAACCCCTGAGCATAACCCCCGGGGGTGTGACCCGCCCCCCCCCGCCCCCCCCCCCCCCCCAAAACACACAAAGCAGAGGATGAAATGAGAGCAAAGGCAGCATCCTGAGGGCAGAGCCGGGAGTAACCCCTGAGCATTGCTGGGTGTGACCACACACCCCTCCCCTGCACACACACAACACACACACACACACACACACACACACAATGGAGGATGAAACAAAAGCGAGGGCAGCATCCTGAATGCAGAGCCGGGAGTAACCCCTGAGCATTGCCAGGTCTCTCGGTCTCTCTCTCTCTCTCTCTCTCTCTCTCTCTCTCTCTCTCTCTCACACACACACACACATACACACACACACACACATACACTGTGGAGGATGAAGTGAGAGGAGTGAGGGTAGCATCCTGCATCTCTTAGCTCAGCTTCATGCCTGGCACTCCAAGGGGCTGTGAGGATACAGACTCAAACAAGGCTTGGTTTGTTCTTGGGAAGTGGCCTCTCATGATCTCAAAGGCCTTGGAGCGATGGAAATTTTTAAGTTGTTTGGGAGAAAGAAGTCATTTCAGATGCAAGCCAAGATGTTGCCAAAAAAAAAAAAAATTTTTTTTTTTCCCTTCTGGTGCAGAAAATGTGGATAATGAGGACATAGGCAATTGTGTTTCTAAGGAAAATGCTTAAAATTGTAGGCGTTGGAAGCTGGGAAGATAGTACAGCAGCTAAGGTGAGTTCCTTGCACACACACAGAGACAGGTTTGACCCCTGATACTCAAAATGGTCTTCTGAGCCCTGCCAGGAGTGATCCCTGAATCAGAGCCAGAAATCGCCCTTCTGAGCACTGCTGGGTATGGCCAGAAACGAAAATTAAAACGAGGAATTTGTTTTGTTGTTGTTTTGTTTGGGGACCACACTGGAGGTGCTCAGGGATTACTCCTGGCTCTGCACTTGGGGATCACTCCTGGTGGTGCTCAGGGGACCATATGGGATGCCGTATGGGAATCAAACCCAGATTAGCTGTGTGTCTGACCAGCTCCTAAAACAAGGACTTTAGGGCCAGTATAGCCCACTGGGTAAAATGCTTGCCTCACAAGGATCTGGCTCAGGCTAGGTAAAGGTAAAGGTAAAAGCCCTCCCGTTGTTCGTCGATTTGCTCAAGCGGGCCCAGTAACATCTCCATTGGAGAGTTTGTTGTTACTGTGTCTGGCATATCCAATACTCTCGGTAGCTTGCCGGGCTCTCCGAGAGGGGCGGAGGAATCGAACTCGGGTTGGCCATGTTGGCTGCGTGCAAGGCAAACGCCCTACCGCTGTGCTATCGCTCCAGCCCGGCTCAGGCTAAGGTACTCGTTACTGAGGACAGCTGAGCCCTGAGCACTGCCTGGTATGCCCCCCCCCCCAAAAAAAAAGAAATGAAACAAAAGCACGTGACTTCGTCCATGAAAACCCTGGGTGCTGTTTTGTCCGCTTTTCCAATTCTGTTTTGGTGGCTGGGAGCCTGGCGGGCAGCCACAATCTCCCTGCCATGCAAGTGCCCGACTGTCACTTACCACAGTCGACTTGGGGTCCACCTCTGACCCTCCTGCCACGCTGAATCCCAGACCTGAGCCTTCCTTTTTGTTCAGGACGACAAAGTAAACATCTTCTTTGTCCTGGTGAAAAACAGCAGAAACAAGAGTCTGTTTTTCATGTCAAGAGTAAGGCGGGGGCCGGAGTGCTAGTACAGTGGGTAGGGCTCTTGCCATGCACAAGGCTGACCTAGGTTCAATCCCCAGTACCCCATATCGTCCCCACCAGGAGTAACCGCTGAAAATCGCTGGGTGCGGCCATAAAAACCATAAAAACAAAAATTAAAAAAATGAGGTTGCAGCAGAAGTATGACACTGCCCTGCCCCCTCCCCCCATGCCCTGGTTTGGGTACAGATTTGTCCCCAGCGCCCTGGTGTCCCTTCTGAGGGGGTAGGAGTCTCCGTGACTGGCAACTTAGGTCCCCACCATTTCCCATTCTCTAGGACCCCCCTCTGCTGGTGAGCTCTGCATGGACGGGGTGGGGAGACAGATCCAGGCTCTGCAGCCCCAGGCGGGGACCTAAAACTCCAGGCAAGGGCCAACTTCTGAGCAGACTGCAGGCAAGAGAGTGGGACAGTCACCGAGCTATCAGATGCACCCTGAGGACGTAGGGGAAGGGCGTGGGGTCCCTGCCTGGAGACCCCTCCCCTGCAGCTCACCTCTGATTGTCCTTGCACCTCCTGAATTAGAGTCACAACTCCTGATTTGGACCCAACTGATGATAAGACAGACTGTAATCTCTGCTGGTCCCCTGCCGAGGCCAGAAGCCGATCCAAACTAAAGAAGATAAATGGATTCAAAGTAAAGAAGGTAATAGGGGAGCGGGGGTGGGGGGGATGGGGGGGGGGGGTGGGGGGGTGGGGGGGGGAGTCATGGGGCGGAGCTTGAGAACACTGGTGCTGGGAAATGTGCACTGGTGGAGGGATGGGCGTTGGAACACTGTATGACTGAAACCCAATCATGAAGGGCTTTGTAAGGGTCTACCTCACAGTGATTCAATAAAAAAGTAAAAAAAAAAAAAAAAGACATTGCTCTGTGTGTGTGTGTGTGTGTGTGTGTGTGTGTGTGTGTGTAAACACAGAAGGCCATATTTATAGGATGCCTTTCAAAAAAGTTGATTCAAACTAGATAATATAAATATATGGATGATTTCTATTATGGAGGGTGAAACGCCATATTTATAAGGACGCATTTAAAACATTCTCCTTCCTGGTTGGAGAGGTAGTTCATTGGGTGAGGTGCCTGTCTTGCATATAGCCACCTAGGTTTGATCCCTAGCATCTCACATGGTCCCCTGAGCCCACCAGGAGTGATCCCTGAGCACTTCCGGCTATGGCCCCCCAAACAAAAATAAAACAACAATGACCCTTCTACTATAGGTTATTTCAGGGGACATTCGTAGGAAACTAGGGATCCCTCTAAGCTGTCACAGGACTGATCAGCAGAGACAAGGAAGAGATTCAACATGTTTGGACCCCAGGGGACCATTTTTAAATAGTCTGAAACTTCCTTCCGGAACCTTAGTCCCCTGGAAAGGCCCAGACTGGCTGTGGGGGGGGGGGGGCTTTCCTGCCGCTGGTTCATGTCCTGGTGACTCTGCCATGGGGTGAGAAGCCTCTGCAGAGCCGCATTCAGCAGATGCACCTGCCACGGGTACCACATGTTTCCAATGCTGCTATCAAGGACAGGGCTTCGGACACAGTGTGGGGACTTGCACTGTACAGTGACACGGGAGGTAAACTCAAAGGAGAGGAACCCGGACGGAACTTCAGTCTTGCTTGCGCTTTCCTAGACATCTAAAAGCAGAGCGCGGTGAAAAAATCCAAAGTTCCGCCCCCCACCCCCCCACCCCCCACCAAATAAGAGCTGGCACTTACTTCACCGACCAGCTCGTTCCAGGAGGTAGACCCGGCTCACTGGCTTTCGGAGAGGCCCTGTCCTCCCCGGGTCCAGGGCAGGAGGGGGCTGGGGGCCCATCAGGGCATCCCGCTGGAGAGCCCAGCGACCTCCGGGGCACAATCTCCAGCTCTGTCTTGAAGAGCACGGCCGTGGGCCCGGCCAGGGGGTCACCACAGAGCTTGTCCAGGTCAGGCATGCTCAGGGCCCTCAGCTCCTGCAGCTTCGAGCGGGACAGGGTGGCCGATGGCTGGGCATGGCGCACGGAGGACCTGTTCCTTTTGGCGGGAGAGGCCGAGGGGACGGGGGCCGTGGGGACGATGCCTGAAGGCCCGAGGGGTTTCCTAGGGTCTGTCTCAGGGCCTCCTCTGCTGTCCGCTGCTGCTGGGCTCTGCCGGGGGCCTGTCAGCATAGCGCTGGACGGTGACTTGCTCAGCTGGGGGACGAGGATGCCACCACCTTCGCTTTGGCTTTCGTTGCAGGAGCTCAGGCTACGCCTCAGGGACCTCGGGGTGGGGTCCCCAGCGTGACCCAGGCTCCCCAGGACCACGCTGCCCGAGGACCGTCTCCCGATAGGCGGCTTGGTGCTCACTGACAGAAAGGGGCACGCCCCGGCCTTAGCGGCCGGCCGGTCACTGTGGGCCAGGTTCTCGAAAGACTTGATGCGCTGCTTGACCGAGAAGAATGAGGTAGATTCGGGCGGCCAGTTCTGCTCCGGGCAGTAGTGCCTCCTGCCACCCCGGACTCTGTCGGTGGCTAGGCAGCTCACCTCTCCCTCGCCCGTCGTCGTCAGCAGCGGCAGGTCCCGTGTCTCCGGCAGGGGCTTCACGCTGTATAGGCCCTGTCCATTGGCCAGGCCTAGCATCCCGTGGCCTCTCGGGGCCCTGGCCTCCGGGGTGGTCGCACACCCAGGACTGTCCCGGGGAGCAGGAGCTCGAGCCGGGTTGTGGGCGGAAGGTTCCTCCCGCCCGAAGAGGCTGGAGAACTGGGCAGGCATGGAGTAGGTCCTGGTCGCTGGCCTGGGCATGTAATAGGGGGGGTCTCCCAGCCCGGCGCCCGCAAAGGAGCTGTCCCTGGGCATCCCCCCGAAGTCTGACCTGGCCGGGGAGCTGTTCACCTGTGCAGAGCACAGGGGCTGGGAGGAGGACGAGGAGGATGAGGAGGACGAAGAGGAGAAGGAGGAGGATGGGCACGAAGCCAGTTTGGCCACGCCAAGAGATCGAGGCTGCGTGTCTGGCTCTGCCGGGGCGGCCCAAGGCAGGGCTGATGATGGGTGAGTGGGGGCCGATGGCCCCGATGGCGGGACACCCAATCTGAGTTCACGCCTCTCCACACCGCCCGGTCTGCTGCTTCCTGCCGGCCCATCCTCACCTGCGTTCTGGGCTGTCCCCTCCGTGGGGATCTCCACGATTTTCAGCTGTGTGGTCCTTTCCCGGGCATCGCCAGCCGTGGCCCTACCACTTCGCTGGCCGCTCACCCCGGGCTGGGCGGCCTCTGGGCTGGAACCCGCCTGGCCGCACCCTGGCTGCTCCGTGTCCGGCTTGGTGCTGGGGGGCCCCCCGGTGCTTCTGGAGGCTGTGGGGGGCGTCCTGTTCTCGGGGCCACACTTGGGCGGTCGGGGACCACCCCTGTCGGTTTCTGAGGAGTGGGCCGCCACATGCAACCTGCACGCAGCCAGCTCGGGAGGAGTCCTGGGCGAGGTCAGGGGGGACACACAGGTCCTGATGCTGGTGTCCAAGGCCGAGAGCCGCAGGGGCCCCGGGGCGGCAGGTGGGGGCTTGTTCTCCAACCCACCCCGGGCAGGCGAGGGGCTGGCTGGCGACTTGGGGTCTGACTCCCCTAGCTCTGCTCTTTGTAGCCTCTGTGACACTACCTTGGAGAACATTTTGGGAGGGTTCTGCGGTGACCCCAGGGGTCTCTTGGGATCAGACCCTGAGCTCTTGGTGGCGGGGGCCTCGGCACCCGCTTTGCTTCTGCCCTTCAAGCTCAGTCTCCTCAGCCTGGACCCTGCCCTGGCTTTCTGGCCACTGCTGGGTAGTGCCTCCGCCGAATTTTTCTTGGGCGCATCTCTGTTCTCCAGACTCTGTCTCGGTGGCGGAGGGCTGCTGGGCACAGCTGTGGTACTCCCCTTTCTGGGGGCTGAGCCCACCCCAGGGTTTCGGGCCTCCGGACTGCTGGCGGGCACGGCCGGACGCCCCTTCTCGGCCCGGCTGGGCCCATGGACACCGGGGCTGCTGGTGTGGGGGTCTGGGGAACAGGCTGTTCTGGGCCTTCTGGAGCTGCCGTGGAGGCCCAGGGGTGTGTCCTCCGGGTCCGGGTCCTCGGAAATGTGCAGGTCTGTGCTCACGGTGCCCCCGTCCTGGGGGCCCACCTTGACCCAGGAGCACGGCAGCCCCCTGGCCAGAGTGTCCACATCCTGGTTTCCACCAGGGGTTCTGCCGTCCAGCAGGTCATGCTCCAGACCATTCACCACAGCCGGTGCCCGGGGCGGGGCCTGCTGTGGGCACCTGGTGATCGCGATAGGCGGGCTGCTGGCCCTTGCTGGTGCAACGTCCTCGGCAGGAGAGGGCCGCCGGGAGCCCACAGAGGCTGCAGGACTGAGGGTGGGCCTGTCTCGAGGGGCCCCAGCCGCGTTCCCCGGGGTGCCGAGCCTTAGCGGCAGTGCTCTGGGCACCCCCGAGCTGGGGGAGCTGCGGCGAGAGCACATTTCCACTGGCTCCTCCTCAGATTCAGCAGCGGCATCTTCTGGGGCTGCAGCCAGGGGTGCCCAGCCCTCCCGGGGGGCTTCGGCCAGTGACTCGGGGTCAGAGGACGAGTCCTCGGCACCACCATACATGACGGACGGCTCCGACGTGGAGGCGCTGGCCGCCTCCTGGCGGCAGCTGCTGAAGTTCCGGGAGTAGCTGCTCAGGAAACTCTTGCTGACCGCGAGAGGCCGGTCGGGTTGCAGGGACGCCAGCAGTGAGGACTGACCCTGACCACTGCCCTGGGCCCGTGCCGCTGCCGCCACCGCTGCCGACAACTCTGGTGGAGGGCATGAGAGTCTTGCCGGCTCCGGGGCGAGTCTGTCCACCTCGGTCACTGGCCTCCCTCCGCTCCTTGGTGGGCAACAGTGTCCCAAGAGCCCGCCGCACGCAGAGGACAGTGAAGTGCTGGCCAGTGTGGCCCCCTGGAGTCCTGGAGGAGCAGAGTCTTTGGGAGGGCCCGAGGCTGGAGGAACCTGGCCGTGCTCACCACTGGCTTGGGGGGCTCCCGCGGGTGCCCCACTGTGGGCCGCGGTCACCCTGGGGCCAGGGGTCACCCTGGCCGCCGACATCTGGCTGCTGTCGGGCTGGGCCCTCCTCGGGGACGTGCTGTGCTCCCGTCTGGCTGGACAGCCTTCTGCCTCCACATGCATCACAGGCCTCCTGGCTTGGGCTGCATCCTCCGAGGTCTGCCTAGGGTCCGGGGCAGCCGCCCCCTTCTGCTGCGGGACAGGGATGCTGTCAGAGGAGCTGTCCAGGCCTGTGTGAGAGAGAAAACACAAGGTGGGTGGCGAAGGGAGGGCGAGGGGAGGAAAGTGAGAAAACGGGAAATGTGGAATTGGAGGGGAGGGGGCGAGTCACGCCCGACAGTGCTCAGGGCTTACTCCTGGCTTTGTTCTCAGCGGTCACTCCCGGGGTCAGGGTTGGGCCTGTTCGAGGCAAGCATGTTAACCCCCTCTAATCCCCCAGCCTGTTTTGAACCCCACTAGGCAGAGCTTTCCTTCGTGATTGGTGCCAGGGATGGGCAGGAAGGGGCAGGGCTACAGGAGGAGGCAGCTGATGCTGTGTTTTACTGATTGTGTGTGTGTGTGTGTGTGTGTGTGTGTGTGTGTGTGTGTGTGTGTGTGTCACACCCGGCGATGCAAAGGGGTTACTCCTGGCTCATGCACTCAGGCATTACTTCTGGCAGTGCTCAGGGGACCATATGGGATGCTGGGAATCAAACCCAGGTTGGCCACGTGCAAGGCAAACGCCCTACCCGCTGTGCTATTGCTCCAGCCCCTTACTGATATTTTTTGAGCCACACCTGACAGTGCTAGGGGCTTACTTGTGGCTCAGTGCTCTGGGTCACTCCTGGGTTGGGGAACTGGATACTCTATGTGGTGCTGGGGATAGACAGAACCAGGGTTGTCTGCATGGATGCCAAGCGTCTTACTCTCAGGCCCGCTGATGGTGGTTTTTCACACTCAGATTCATGTGCTCAACAACTGCTAACAGGGGACTCTCATTGGATGATTTGCAAAACGTGTTTATTTGAGGGAGAAGAAATTACATGGAGGGATAGAGCGATGGTACAGCAGGGTAGGGCAGTTGCCTTGCACGTGGTCACCCCAGGTTTGATCCTAGGCATCTCATATGGTGCCCTGAGCACTGCCAAGAGTAATTCAGAGTGCAGAGCCAGGAGTAACAGAGCCAGGAGTAACCCCTGAGCATCACCAGGTGAAGCTCAAAAACAAACTGCGTGGAAGAAGGTCTTCTGTGTCACTGTCTGAAACAATCCTTCACTTGGAAATCTTTTGCTGCCTGATATTGGGGGGCCGTGAGCCCAAGTAAGGTGCATCACGGATGGGAGGATTGGAGGTCTTTCCTGATGGGGTGCACGAGTGCATGAACCTTCTAGAAGGTTCTGGTCTTAGATCTGACTGGTGCTGGAGAGGGCGCACCTTGCGGACCCATGAGTCTGTAAGTGGCCTCGGAGGGCAGTTTGGACACTGTCCTTTGGATGGGGGTGGTAAGTCTACTGTGGTTCAATGGTGGTTGTAAGGGCAAAACCGACACCATGACAGGCAGCAGAAATAAGCAAAATCAGCTAGGCCTCAGGTTCAGTTCCTGGAGCTGAAACACTCTCGGTTTCTCAACAATGAAACAATGTGTAACTAGCCAACCGGAACCCACCTAGGAAAGTTCCTGGGCCCAGCAAGTGGGCTCAATCAATCACTATGCCCCCCAGTCAAAATGCCCCAGAAATTGTCTTTTGTTACAAGGAGTAGCTTATGTAACCATGAACTGTTACTGAAAACTATTGTTTAACTATTGCCTGACCACTGTTACCCTAGACACTTGCCAAAACACCTTTGGTAACTAAGTAAGAGTCTTTTCTGAAACAATAAGGCATGTACGACTTATGGAATCAAACCCTGTATAAACTGCTTGCCCTTGAAGGTCGGGGTCGCTATCAACAGACCACTCTGTGGGTGAGATAGCTGACTCCCCTATTCTGGAATAAAACTCCTACTGCTCCTGCATTATGGTGCGCGTGTCTCTGTCCGTCTCGCCGCTTGGGAACCCAGAGTCCCTGACTTAACAGTGGGAGCTCTGTCAGAACCCACATTCATTTGCACACAAGAGTTAGACCTCCAGGCCGTAGATGGGGAGGGTGAGGATGATGAGTTTTCCTTTTAGCTGTGATGCCCGAGCTGTCCTGTAAACACACATTCCTCTCATCGTGGACACAGTCTGCCCAGCCCCCACCTCTGATCTGGCCCGACAATGGCCTTGAGAGCTCCATCCGTAGCCCAGTAGGCCCGTATGTCTATGGATATCCTAATTGACTAATTCTGCACAGCCAAGCTGCTGTGGGAAGGAACAGGTCACAGAACTTTTTTGTTTTTGTTTTTGGGTCACACCTGGTGATCCTCAGGGCTGACTCCTGGCACTGTGCTCAGGTGCTCACTCCTGGCTGTGTTTAGGGGACCTTATGTGGTGCCAGGAGTCAAATCCAGGACGGCTGTGTGCAAGGAAGGTGTCTTACCCACTGTACTATCGCTCCAGCACCTGGTCACAGAGCTATTTAGTTGGAAAGAAGAAATGAGGGGCTGGAGCAATAGCACAGTGGGTAGGGCGTTTGCCTTGCACGCGGCCGACCTGGGTTCGATTCCTGGCATTCTATATGGTCCCCCGAGCAACACCAGGAGTAATTCCTGAGTGCATGAGCCAGAAGTAACTCCTGTGCATCGCCGGGTATGACCCAAAAACCAAAATAAATAAATAAATAAATAAATAAAAAATAAAAGATGAAAATTGAATTAAAAAAGAGAAGCTCTTGGGCCCAGAGAAATAGTACGGAATTAAGGTGGTTGCCTTGCATACAGCCAACCCCAGTTTGATAGCCCTGGCACCACATATGGTGCCCCCAGGCACCGCCAGGAGTGATCCCTGAACACAGAGTCAGGAGCACTGGCAGCCTGATGTGGTCCATATTAGTAGGTATATATAAATAACAGTAGGAGAAATAATTGAAGCTCTCAAATATTTCTGTGATCGGGCTCTGGGGAGAGGGTCCGGATTGGAGGAGTGAAGCTGAAGTTTGATCCCAAGCACTGCATCCCCCCCTACCTCCCCGCATTGCTTCATGTGGATGAAGGCAAGTTATGGCTCTGGTGCTCCCTCCCCCCAGTAAGCTCTGTGGGAGACCCCTGTGAAAACCTTTTTGTCTGATCTGATGATTTGCTATCTTGGGTCAAAGATTTCTGATATACTCTGACACCCTTAGTGGTGCCACTATTGCAATCACAACTATTACAACTCGATAATTAACTAATTGCTTTTGGTTTGGGGGCTGCATCAGTTGGTGCTGTGGGTTGTTACCAGCCTAGTGTGTGGGGAGATGGTGGTGCTGGGAATCCAGTCTGGGCCTCTGGCATGCAAAGCATGTGCTTGCGTCCTTTGAACCATCTCCCTGACCCCTCAAGGGGGTCACTTTTAAACACTGAACTGAGCAAGAAGCAATTTCCCCATCCCACTCAAAACTCCACTCCTACTGTTTTGAATCAGAGAACTTCATCCCACCTTGATGCTCAGTGAGTGAGAGAATGAGCTTACCCGTCCTGGATAGCCGCCCTCGCTCTGCTGCGGCTTCCTGCAGCTGCTCTGTGTGCTGGCCAGTGTCTGGAGGACGGGGAGGACTTGCTGGCATCCCATCGGAAGGGACGCAGCCATGCCCCCTGCTCAGCTTTCCCAGAGGCTCCTGGTACAACGACAAGCACAGGTCACAGATAGCAGCGTGAGAGCCGGGTTCTGGGCTTAAGGTTCAGCCTTGCCTCTGCCTAACCTCCGTTTCTGAGCACCAAAATGGGAATCATTAGTGGGTAAAATGCCTTGCCCGCAGCTGACCTGAGTTCCGTCCCCAGCATCCTAAAAGGTTTTCAACTACCATCAGGAGTGATTCCCAAGTGCAAAGCAGAGCCAGGAGTAAGCCCTGAGCAACACCCACTGTGGTACAAAAAACAAACAAAAAAAAAAGGGAAGGAAGTTCTGACACATGCTCAATGTGGGTGAATCTCGAAGATCCTGAGCTACATGGAATCAGTCATCACAAGGAGAAAAACACAGTCTACTTAGGTGGGAGGGGGCTGTGTGTTCCAAGTCCTACAGGAATCCTAAGGGTGGTCTTGGGGTGGGAAGGAGAGGAAGGGGGCCACTGTTTTCTGGGGAGAGAGTTTCCCTTTGATAACATGGAGGTGGATAGGCAGGATGATTGTACATTCTGAGTGTATCAGACATGATTTGAATATTATTATACTGCTATATTTCATGTTATGTATCCTATCACAATTTGAAAAAATAGAGGAAATGGGGATAAAATGTCTCCCAATTCATTATCTTCTGCTTCCCACACCCAAAGATGCTCAGGGTTGACTTCTGCTTCTGTGCTCAGGTCACCCCTCGTGGTGCCTGGGGGACCCTGGGATTCGAGCCAGGGTCAGCTGCATGCAAGGCTTGACCTCGAGCCTATCTCTCTAGCTCCCCCCAACTCAGAGTTTTAATTAAGACTAGTTGGGACACCAGTTATGAAAACAGCCTGCGGCATACAAACAGCTATAGAAATGTAAGGGATTGGGGCTGGAGAGATGGCACAGCGGGTAGGGCGTTTGCCTTGCACACGGCCGACCCGGGCTCGATTCCCAGCATCCCATATGGTCCCCTGAGCACCGCCAGGAGTAACTCCTGAGTGCAGAGCCAGGAGTAACCCCTGTGCATCGCCAGGTGTGACCCAAAAAGAAAAAAGAAAAAGAAATGTAAGAGATTTATAGTTGTGGTACCGTAGAGAGGTAGCTTCGAATAAAATCAGCTTTGGTAGCTGGAGAGAGGACCATTCTGGGTGGAGAAAACTGGTAGTCAGTTTTTCAAAATTTCGTGATACTATCAGTTTGTCTTTCTTTCTTTCTTTTTTTTTTTTTTATAACACTAAACATTAAAAAAATATTGCAGTTTGCCAGAGAGGTGGTCCAGTGGTTAGGGCTCATAGGGTTCCCTGAGCCCATCAGGAGAGACCCCTGAAGGTAGAGCCAGAAGTGATCCCTAAGCACTGCTGTGTGAGCCCCCCCACCTTCCCAACAAACCAAAAAAAATTGTCACAAAACAAATTGTGGTGGAATGGAGCGATAGCACAGTAGGTAGGGATTTTGCCTTGCACGTGGTCGACACGGGTTTGATTCCCAGCATCCCATATGGTCCCCTGAGCACTCCCAGGAGTAATTCCTGAGTGCAGAGCCAGGAGTAATCCCTGTGCATCGCCAGGTATGACCCAAAAAGCAAAAAATAACAACAAAAACCCCCCAAAACAAAAGAACCCACAAAAAACAAATTGTGGGCTGGGGAGATGACTCTCTTTTCTATAGTGCATGCTTTGCCCCCTGAACATCACAGGGAACAATGCTAACAGAGCCAGGAATCGCCCCTGAGCACTGTCAGTGTGGTTCAAAAACCAAACCAAAATAAAACCATAAATCAATCTGCCAAATGGTTGGTAAGTCAGATGATCCGTGCGAAATCGCCTGTCTGAGTGACAGAATCACAACACGGCCCAAAGGTGGCAGCAGAGGAAAGAGGTAAGAGAACAGGAAGCGTCTGCAGGTTGTTCTCAGGGGAGGGAAATCTACACAGGGTTGGACACGGTTCCTTTTCTATTTGCCAGAGCGGCTTAGACGTAACAGAGCCTCAGAGGTTTGGAACTGGAGCGGGGTGACGGCCGTGCAGATTGTGCATGCAGAAGGGCATTTGGGTGCTGCTGCTGGAGTCTGAGCCTCAGGGCTCACATGGGCAAGTCCCGTTCCCCCTCCCCACCAACGACCCCCCCATCCCCCCCAAACTACAACCCTGCCTGCTGGATATCACGGGTTTTGTTTGCTTTTTTTTAGAGCCATCCTGGCAGTGCTCAGGGGTTACTATTGGCTCTGCACTCAGGAATCACTCCTGTTGGGCTCCGGGAACCATATGGGATGCTGGGGATCGAACCCAAGTCAGCAGCATTCCAGGCAAATGCCCTTCCCAGTGTATTATGGCTCTAGCCCCTGGACATCATGTTTTTCTTTTTAGGTTTCTAGGCCACACCCAGCAGTGCACAGAAATTCCATCCCGGTTTGGTGCGTGAGGGTCACTCTTGGTGGTAATCAGGGGCCCCTGTGTGGGTACCGGGGAAGGAACCTGGGTTGGCTATAGTAATGCCAGGCAAGTCACTTATCACCCCTGATCTGTTGCTCCCGGTCTGGGTCTGTGTAGCTTTAATGCTCTGCAATCTCTGTGCAACGTCTGGGGAGTGAGCATCACTCGGTACACCAGCTGGTGCTGTGCTGAGTTGGCTGGGCCAATTATCCCACCCTGTGTTGAAGACACAGGGTCCACTATCCGGCCCAGCAGTGTGTGGAGAGGCTGCTCCCTGAGCCTCCCACCCTTATCCACAGGCAAGATAGAATGTTCTGGGCCCTCTGACGCCCAACCGGCAGAGACAGCAGGAAGCTAGGATGAGCAGAGAAATGAGAGCGTCCTGGCACAGGGCGGAGGGCCCTGGCTTTCCAGAACCCTCCAGGTCCACGGGCACCCGCGGCTCCACCCCGTTCACTTCATGTCAACATACACTGACCTTTCCCGCCCTTCTGGTCCCTGGACTGAGCGTGGTCAGGGCTGGCAGGTCTTGGGCAGCACTGGGCATCTCTGACGTCTCTGAGCTCTGGGCTTCGGCGTCTGGCCTCTGGCGGTGTGGGATGACCCTGGCCACAGGCTTGTGCCTGGACACCAGGACGTCATTCTGCTGCTGCTGCTGCGGGGGGCTGGGGCCCTCGGGGACCAGCAGGCTCTGGGGGCCCGCGGCTGCTTTGTACTCCAGCTTCGGGGAGCTCCTTGAGGCCGAGAGCTCCTTCCTCCCAGAGCAGCCGGCGCCACCCGTGCAAGCCGCACCTGAAGCCTGCAGGCCGGCTGCCTGGGCAGGAGCGTCCCCTCGAGCTCCGGGGATACTCTGCTCCGAGTCCAGCGGGCCACCAAGCAGAGGGACCGACGAGGCCTTGCTGACCCGTGTCTTGGGCGGTGCTTCCTCTGGGTTGTGGTGGCCGGTGACTCGGGGAGAGCTGGACAAGCCGGGTCCGGAGCTGTCCTGGGTCAGGAGCCTGCTGGGATCTGCCAGGGTGCCCGGGAGGGACATGTAGTCCCCGTCCTCCTCGTCTTCGTCGCTGGCATCGTTGCCCACCCTCTTTTGGCGGAAGAAAGGGTTTCGGAGCCCCTGCGGGCTGCCGGGGAGGCTGGCTTGTCTGGCCACTGTCACCTGCTTGTGGATGAGTCCAGAGGTCCGGTGGCTTCCGAGGGACACGAGGCTGTTGGCCCTGGCTTTGCCTGACTCCTTGGGAGCTGGTTTTTTTTTGAGGGGGGGGTGGTTAGGAAGGAAGGGGAAATGCAATCAAATTTTGGTACGTCCTGCTCTCAGCTGCTCAGCACCCCAACTTCCCTTGAAAGACAGTGTGCCCAGCTGCATGGCTGGTGGCCTTGCTTCGCTGAGACCCATGAGCCCAGCCCCCATGTGCCAGATTTTCATTCCCGAACAGCCCTCCTGCTCTCCAGCACCTCCGTGGTTCCCCTCGACCCTACTGCTGGGAGTAACTCTTGGGGAGATTGTTGGAGAATCTCTGTCTCTCCTTCTCCCCCCTTCCCCCTCTCCCGCGGGAGCCCTGGGTTCCATCCCAGACACCACAAGGTCCCTCAAGCACAGCTGGGAGCGGACCCCAGCACAGAGCCGGGGACAGCCGAAGAGCACTGCTGTGCGCCCACCCCAAAGTCCTGGAGAATGAAAATGACTGAGATTCGACCAAAGCTCTGTGATAACATGGGTCCCTTCTGAGTGCTGCTCCTTGAAGGGAGGGCATTGGGAGGAAGGAACATGGGGTTCTGTTGCTGGGGTGCCCCCAAACACTAGGTCATGGCTGGAACAAACCAGGTCTGGTGCCACAACATTCCAGACCGTCTGTAAATAGCCCTGGGATGGGGTGGGGTCGGTTAAGCGCCTTCAGCTGCAGTGCACCCGCCCCTGGGTGCTGCCCGATGTTGCCGTTTCCAGGACAGTCTGGGTTTCCTCAGGGCAGAAGCTTCTAGCTCTGTTCACACTGCTGAGACGTGGGGCACCCAGGAGAGCACCCTGAACTTACTGGAAGGGGCGAGTGGCAGGCTACCGTCCTCCAGGGCGCTGCAGCCACTTCCCAGGTGATCCTCGTCTTCAGACACGGTCACCACGAAGTCTGACAAGGGGCCCGGGGCATCCGAGGCAAAGTACTGCGAGAGCTCGGCCTCCGAAGACAGCGAGTCCTGCTCAGGCAAGGGCGGCTGGTGAGGCGGGGAATGGGTGCCCTTTGCCAGGGTGCCCCCCCCCCCCCCCCGTCCTGAGCAGGGCAGCGAGCACCAAGGGCTGGGCGCAGGTTCTGCATGCCAGGACCAGCTCAGTTCCTGCATGGCATGTTCCCCCAAGCACTGTCAGGAGGGACCCCCAAGCACCGAGTTGGGAGCAGACCCCAAGTGCCAGAGGGTGTTGCCCACAAAGCAAACCCATGATCACAGTATGGATATCTGCTCTGTGGAACACGGATGAACACAGAGGCCATGGGTGCTGCCAGATAATGCCTGCAGGGGAACCCCTCTCTCTCTCTCTCTTTCTCTCTCCCCCCCGCCTCTCCTCTGTCTCTCTGTCTCTGTCTCTCCTCTGTCTCTCTCTGTCTCTTCTGTCTCTCTCCTCTGCCTCTCTGTCTCTCTCCTATCTCCCTGTCTCTCTCTCCTCTGTCTCTCTCTCCTCTGTCTCATTCTCCTCCATCTCTCTCTGTCTCTGTCTCTTTTTTCTCTCTCCTGATTCTCTATCTCTTCTCTCTCTCTCCTGTCTCTCTCTTCCATCTCTCTCTGTATCTGTCTCTCTGTCTCTGTCTCTTTCTCTCTCTGTCTCTCTCTCTCCTTCTCTCTCTCTCTCCCTCCATCTCTTTCTCTTTTCATCTCTTTCTGTCTGTCTCTGTCTCTCCTGTCTCTCTCTCCTCTGTCTCTGTCTCTCTATCTCCCCCTCCCTCTCTCTCTCCTATCTCCCTGTCTCTCTCTCCTGTTTCTCTCTGTCTCACTCTCCTCCATCTCTCTCTGTCTCTGTCTCTTTTTTCTCTCTTCTCCTTCTCTCTCTGTCTCTTCTCTCTCACCTGTCTCTCTGTCTCTATCTCCTCTATCTCTCTCTGACTTTGTCTCTTTTTTCTCTCTCCTCTTTCTCTCTGTCTCTTCTCTCTCTCCTGTCTCTCTCTGTCTCTATCTCTCTCCTCCATCTCTCTCTGTATCTGACTCTCTGTCTCTGTCTCTGTCTGTCTCTCCTTCTCTTTCTCTACCCCCTCTGTCTCTTTCTCTCTCTATTTCTCTTTTTGTCTCTTTCTCTCTCTGTCTTTGTCTGTCTGTCTCTCCTTTTTGTCTCTCTCTGTCTCTCTTTCTATCAGAAAAGCCACAAGGGCATTTCTGGATGGGGCCTCCCCCTGAGGAGGCACTGGAGGAAGGGTTAGGAAGAGAGAAGCCAAACCCAAGCCAACTGGGTGAGACCAAAGCCAACCGAGGAAACAAAAACGAAATGAGATGAAATCCTGCACCTGAATCCCCGTGAAACAGCCAGCCGAGAGAGGGTCCCCCACATCTGATCCCAAATCAGGACCCCCTATTATAGAGCTTAGTCCTTGATTTTGTCACTCTGTTTTTTCTGGGATGAATGCCCAATTAAAGACCCCCCTGTTTCTCTCAAAGGGGCATGGTAGTGCCTTCCTGTATGAAGGGGTCACACCTGGGGCTGGAGTGATAGGTAGTACAGTGGAGAGGGCGCTGGTCTTGCACGCGGCTGACCCAGGTTCCATCCCCGGCATCCTGTATGAGCCCCGAAGCACCGCCAGGAGTGGCCCCTGAGCATCGCTGGAAAACTAGTAGCAGGGATGCTGTGCTGGGGCTCTCAGGCTCAACACTGGGGTCCAGGTGTGGATTCATAAGCCAGACAAACAATAGCCTGTCCCTGGGGACTCACCTTTTTCCCAAGAGAGGGGCTCTTCAAGGGCGTGCCTGTCAGGGAAAGGAAATCACCAAACGGTCAATACAGCAAAGTAGCCACACAAAGCTCACTTCTTTAATTGGCAAAGAAGGAGCCAAACCGATTAGGCAAAGCCCTCTTTGCTTGGGGTGGGGGGGGCGTGGCACAGATACAGTGGCATATGCATCCGTGGGGGTACTTGACCTCAGCTGTATACGAGTGCTCATGCAGAAAGCTCTAATTGGGGGCTCTGAGTCTCTGAGTCCAGTGATGAAACCTGATGGAAACACCCCTTTCTGGATTGCAAAAGTTATGGGATATGGCCCATGCGCCAGTCCTATGCACACATCGTACCATTTAATTATGGGGACCTGTGGATCCCAGCTGCCCCTCCCCCAGGGCTGAGACCACCGGAGCTGAGTACATAGTGCTCGGTATTACTCGGGAATTGAGGGGTGTTCAGGGGGAGCGGGTGAATGAATGGGTTAAAGAATGAATGAACAAAATGGGACCAGAGAAACAGCTGAGTAAGCTTTTGCCGGATATAAAAAGGCTCAGCATTGAGATTTTAAATTACATATATATATAAATTATGTATTATATATATATATATATGCCTTAAGTGAAGAGATCTTGGACATGTGGATCCTGGCTTAATAAACTCTTTTATAAACGACAGAGTGAATAGGTTGGGATTACGAAGCGGCAGTTTTCAGGCAGGCCAAGAGTTGAATAAAGGGTCTATTATGGCTATGGCCATTTTAAATCTATTAATTATGGATGCAAATAATTGGGGTAGTTCATGGCTGCCAAAAAATCCTGTGCCTTCCTTTCCCTCTGACAACTAGTAACTCATGCCTCAGTTCTTTCCCCTCTGAACATCAATCTTAACATCAATAATATTCGAAGGCATGGCCGTGGCTCAGGCGTGGCTCAGGGGTAAAGTGTGTGCCGTGCGTGCAACTGGGTCAGTTCCTGGCACTGCAAGAAGCAAAGCAAAACAGTGGACAAAATGTCAAGCTCAGAAGTGTTTGCAGAATCCCTTTCGGTTTCCATTCTACAGGAAGCCTTCGTTTTTAAAACAATGTCATGTTTCATGTTTTAAGTTCATTTGAAATTCTTCACAACCATTCTCTGCTTGACTTTTCCACTTCAGAAGGGAAATCAGCCCCTCTATCTCCCTTATTGAGCTGAGACTTCTAATCCATGTAACCAAATCCCAAGGTTTTGGGCAAATAATACTCGGTCCATCACGTAGTTTGATATTGCTTCATTTTCACCCAGAACCTGTCAGACGATGTGTGCATGAATGTGTGCTGCTAACTCATTTTTGCAAATTATCTTAAAGTAGGTTAAAGCAGCCTGCGTGGTTAGAACTTTAATAAAATGCATTAACTAACTGCAGGAACCGAAAGCCACAGTTAAGAGAAAGCACAGAATCTCTTTGACAGCTACTTTTGCCAAACCTGAAGACAAAGAATCCAATAATAGTGCACGGAGAGTGGCCCCATGGGGAAACTTAATGAGAAGCTCTTCGGAATGTTGAATGAAAACGTGCAATTACAGTACCTAAGCCGGGGGAAGCACTGGCCTCTCGGCACTCCTGATAAGTGCTGCGTGCTATCACTTCATCCATTTCCTGCTCCGAAACCTGGGTTCCAACAGAAAGCACAAATGAGACGCTTTTATTTATCTATTCCCCCGGACAAAGTACCAGAAGAGCAGTTAGGAACTGAGCACAGTTAAGAGGTGAAAAATCACAGGGTTAGAGGTCAGGCTCATCCTCAGAAGCAACGGTTCAGGGCACAGAAGAAGGGAACTTGTGTTAACTGAGACACGAAAACAAAGGCCTTCACTTGATTATCCAGTCTATTAAGCAATGCATCCAGGTATTATGTGTAAGGGCACCGTGGTTGAAAAAGGGGCATCTTTTTAGAAACAATGTTCCCGAAGTGGGTGGCAGAGCTGCCTCTGGGGGGCTGAACTATCAGGTGTGCCATTGGGGAGTGCTTTTTCTTTGCTAAATGAAAGGGCAGATTTTCAGGGAAGCACTGAATAATTACTTTCCTAAAACAGAGGTGGTGGTGGACTGACAACTTTGGGAACCTCTGTTCTAGAACACCCATCATTCTTTTTCCTCTAAGTGTTTATATCTAAAACTACCTAAAACTTGCTCAACCAGTAGCACTGTACTGCACTGTCCTGTTGTTCATCGATTTTGCTTGAGCGGGCACCAGTAATGTCTCCATTATGAGTCTTGTTGTTACTGTTTTTGGCATATTGAATACACCATGGTAGCTTGCCAGGCTCTGCCATGCAGGCGGGATACTCTCAATAGCTTGCCGGACTCTCTTAGAAGGACAGAGGAATAGAACCCGGGTCAGCCGCGTGCAAGGCAAATGCCCTACCTACTGGTGCTGCTAGACTAGTATGAGAATTTATGCCACTTAGGTTTTTTTCTCTTTTTTTTTCTTTTGGTAATGTTTTGCCACATTTATACTTAGGTGCTCTCTTTTTACACACACACACACACACACACACACACACACACACACACACACGCACGCACATCCCTACATCTTTTTGCTAAACCGTTTGGGAGTTAACTTGTTGCATCATGACCTGTAACTATTTTAGTACCTATCTTGTGGAAACAAGGAAATTCTCTTAGATAACTCAGGTACTGGGTTTTATAGTCTCTGGTCTTGGCCGTTGATGGGATTACCTAGCGCTGGGGGCAGTTGGTGGGTGTGACGCTTGCCTACTGGAAGATGGGGGGATCTGGGTGGAGGATGCTCAGTCCTGATTCGAGCAGGCTTGGAGATCTCTGATCCCGTGCCTGGCTGTCCTCACTGGGGCCCCTTGGAGGGGGCCGGTTGAGTTTCCCTCCCCGTCCCGAGCAGAGCCCCAGCAGCCGAAGACCTCCAGAACCAGCGACAGCCATGCTGAGACCACTCTCCACACTTCCGGACAAGCCTCATGCATGAAGGAACCGGCAAAGGAACCCAGGCATGAAGGTCCCAGGGCTGAGATCTCCAAGCCTGCTCGAATCGGGGCTGAGCATCCTCCACCCAGATCCCCCATCTTCCAGTAGGCAGGCGTCACACCCACCAACTGCACCCGGAGCCAGTTAATTCCATCAATGGCCAAGACCAGAGACTATAAAACCCAGCTCCCGGAAGCGCGTGGCCGCATTTGCGGCCACGCAACATCTTATTATCTTGTTCTTACTTTGGACAACCCAGCAGGCTAACAAATATTTCCTGCCTGCACGGCAGAGTCTGGCAAACTCCCCGTGATATACCCAATATGCCAAATACCAGTAACAATGATGGGTCTCATTCTCCTAACCCTGAAAGAGCATTTCTCTAGGCTCGGACGAAGGAGATGTTACTGGTGCCTGCTCGAGGCAATCGACGAACAACAGGATGATCGTGATCGTGATTGTGAACTCAGGTACTATTATCAAAGCCTGGGCTCCTCTGGTTAGCTGACTTTCTTAATAACTGCCCTTCAGAAATGCTGCTCAGGTTTGTCTAGAATGGAAGAGAGGGCTGTCAGCTTGGTCACTGTTACTGTCATGTCCTCCCATTGTTCATCGATTTGCTCGAGCAGGCCCAATAACATCTCCATTGTGACACTTGTTACTGTGTTTGGCATATCCAATACGTCACAGGGAGCTTTCCAGGCTTTGCTGTGCGGGTGAGATACTCTCGTTAGCTTCCCGGGCTTTTTGAGAGGGGTGAAGGAATCGTATCTGGGTGGATTGGGTCGGCCATGTGCAAGGCAAAAGCCCTACTTACTGTGCTATTGCGCCAGCTCGTCAGCTTGGTATGATTTAAAAAAAAAAAATCCATGTTTTTCTTGTGTGTGTGTGTGTGTGTGTGTGTGTGTGTGTGTGTGTGTAGATCTCGGGCCACACCAATGGTGCCTGGAAGCTACTCCTGGCTCAGTTCCCTCAGCTGTGATCTGAGGACCATGTGGTGTTGGGATGGAACCCAGGTCTCCTGCATGACAGCCCACGTTTCAGACTGTCAAGTCATTCCTCAGCCCAAAACACAGCTTCTTTCATCAACATTTTGCTAGGAGGGGAAAAAACCAACTGGTTAAATGGTGTTTAGGGACATAAATAACCACATTTGAGTGCAAATTCTGTATTTTGTTAGGGATACTTTACCGGACTTTCGTGGACTGATTTTTTTTTTTTTGCATGGTAAAACTTCTAATTTGTTTCTTTAGAAAGATGCAAGGGGACAGAAAAAGAAAAGTACATGTTCAAGAGAGAACACAGGCTTCTCCAGGGTAGGAATAAAGCAAAGAAACATAGGAACAAGCAAGAGAGGTACATAGTCAAGGGAGAACATAGGCTTGAAGAGCCAGTGTAGTAAATCTTTGTAGAATATATATATATATATATATATATATATATAATATATAGCTTCAGTTCAGGGTCTAATTATTCTGTCTCATTAGACTCCTTTAATCAAAATAATTCTTGAGTCTTTCTTTGTATTTCATGATACCGATATTTTGGAAGAAACCAGGCCAATCCAAACCTTCAATTAGGATTTGTCTGGTAGTTTCTTCATGCTTAGTTTTAGATCATGCATTCTGGGGACAGAAAAGCACAAAAAATGGTTTCCGTCTTCATGTATCCCAGAGGCACCCAGGGCCTCATGGCTCATAACAAGTGATGGTATCTCTGACCTTTAAAGGAGGAGGGAGTTTGCCAGATTTCTCCAATGAATTGTTGAATGTTTGGGTCTTTACCAAGTGATCCGTGAAGAGAGAGTTCAAGACTATGTAAATATCTTGCTCAAAGCTATATTTTCATGGATCAGTTTTAGCATCATTCGTTATGCCTGTCTGAATCAATTGTAACTACGAATTTTTCACAACAGTGCTTTTATAACTCTCACTTTTCTCCTCTATTTACTGGAATCATGGTAGATTTAGGCTTCCCGCCCTCCCCGCCTCCAGCCCCTATTAGCTGTTCTCTGTAACTCATGGTCTGTAGGAAGATTTCTAGAAAGTCTAATAGATAATGAAATACATTATATATTTAAAAGCCAGTTGTTATAAAAATTGTATTGTGTTTCTTTTTTATTTTGATGTTTCTTAAAGGTAAAACATTTTAAACTTAGGATGGCAACATGGTATACTAAAATAACATTCTGCATAAATATTTGGAGAAGCACAGCAATTTGTCTTAATACATAAATATTTCTGTAACGGATTCAGCATGACATTTCAGACTAACAGATAAATCATAATCGCTGTGTAGCCTTTTCTGTCATATTTTCAAGTAGCTCTCACAGAAAATAAAATATGTGCCCATACATCCCCAGGTCTGACCACTCACAGCCACACACACCCATACCCTTCACAAAGCAAAGAGTCATTCTGAACACACAAGCCAAGGAAGAGAGCAGCTTAAAGAGCGGCTGCAAATTTTTCTTTTCAACATTTGCAACTGGTTTTCTGCGTGGGAGAAAAATGGTTGAAGGCTGAAACAAGTGAAAGATTTCCTGGCAAATTTGAATCATGCTGAAAACCCCAGGGCTGTGAAACCCGGACCTCCAGGGTTATCTTCCACTGGACATGAGTTGAGGCTGTCACCTGAGCGGATCCAAATGCAGCTTGTCTAGACCTGCAGGGTTCGAATATCCTGGTTGGGCACCCACTGCTCCAAGTCATTATGAGAAGCAGAATAAAAGAAAATCCTTGTGGTATTTCTCTTGGAACCACATGAAAACTGAGAGAAACACATACATTCTGTATCCAACTGTAGGATTGGCATGAAATGTTGGGCTCAGGGGTCCAAAAATACATTCAGCGGAAAGTGGAATCTTGACCAAAAGAAAAACAGTGTCTGCTGTTACAACTCAGAACACCATGTTTGCCTAAGAAGAAACGGGGAGAGGCGGCCGCATCTGCACTGAGCCCTGCTTTTTGCTGGTTGCCTCGAGCACAGCCTCATGGGCCACCAGGACTCAGCCAGCAAGTCCAACGGGCTCACAGACCAGCAGGCTGCCCATCGGGGTCATTATGCCTCGCCCTGGAAGGCCATTTGGATGTTTGGAGGTACAGGAAAATAAGGCAGATGCTTGGCAGCTGAGATGAAGTCGACGTCCCAGCAAGCCAATCTGTCCTGGTTGATGTTGGAAAGAGTTTCGATGATGGTCATGCCACAGACCACTTCATTCTCTAGCATGCAACTCCAGGGGGGTCGTGAGTCAGCCACAATGCTCTGGATGCCTGCTTCTGAAGGTGAGGGGCTGTGGCCATGTGGGAGAGGGATCTGAGAGCAGCCCCCGGAGCAAAGAGAGGAATCTGGCCTTGCTTAAGAGGTCAGAGGGTGTCACAAGTGTCCCAGCAAGAATTGGGGCTGTGACTCAGGAGAGGGAGTGTCTGTCTTGCGGTGCAAGACCCTGGCTTTAACCCCCCCAGTCCTGCAAAAATGAAATAAAAGAAACAGAAATAAAAGTGAAACCATAGGGCCTCTTAGGGATAGATGCCAAGGGAAGGGATTAGGACTGTGGCATAGAAAGGGGACAGGTAGGGAAAATTGGAACAACTGGGAGCAGCACCTGATTGTTAATGTTATTGATTCAAAAGGTAGTGGGTTTGTTTTTCCCTCCCTTTTGGTTTTCAGGCCATACCTGGCAATGCTCAGGAGTTACTCCTGGCTCTGTGCTTAGGAATCACTCCTAGTGGTACTTCGGAGACCAACTGGGATGTTGAGGATTGAGCCTGTGTTGACCACATGCAAGGCAAGGGTCCTACCCACTGTACTATCTTTCTGGCCCTCAAAAAATTTTTTTGAGAAAAGACACTTTTGTGAGGGAGTAGATATGGGGGAATGTATGGTTGAGGCTACATCCAGAAGTGCTCAGGGCTTACTCCTGGTTCTGTGCTCATGGATTACTCCTGGCAATATTCAAGGAACCATCTGGGGCACTGGGATCAAACCAAGGTACAAGGCAAGTGCCTTTTCCTCTGTATTATCTGTCCGGTTCTAAGGTCAGCTATTTTTGGAGATGTATGTAGCCAAGAGAAAAAAATGTGAAGGAAAAACATGTAGCAGACTTCACTCTGAATCCAGCTGATAGAATCTTCCAGAACAGCCAACCAGAACCACTAACACGCTTGCAGGGCTGCCAGGAGGTGTTTCTGCTACGGAAGACCCCAAGGTAGCATCCCAGAGGAGGCCAGGCTCTCCCCAAGACTGGACTCTTTAAATGCCTACAAGCTTTCCTAGCTGGGTGGCCTGGGGCCGCTTAGGTGCTAATCAAATAGCACTACAGATGAAACAAAGACAGCGCCTGTTCTTAAAGAGCATTTTCAGTTGTGGAAAGGACAAGGTTCAGTTCTGTAAAACATCCCATAGGATCCTGTGACCAGGTCAAGGAGGCAGAATAGGAATTAAGGCCATGTCCTTGCATCCTGCTGACCCCACTTTGAATCTCAGGCACCACAAATGGTCCCATGAGCACAGACAGGGGTCACTCCTGAGCACAGAGCCTGGAATAACCTATGTCCCTGCCCCTCAAATAAAACTCCATCACAGTTTACTCTTGACCAAACACAGGTTTGGATTGCCCACTTTTGTGCGATTCTCTTGTACAACAATGTAAATTAAGGCATGGATAAATATATAACAGGGTTCAGGAGTTGAGAGATAGTCCAGCAGGGAGGGCATTTGCCTTGCATGAAGCAGACCCAGGTGTGATCCGCAGCAACCCATAGGATCCCCTGAGTACCACCAGGAGCAATTTCTGAGTGCAGAGCCAGGAGTAAGTAATCCCTGAACATTGCCAAGTGTGGCCTAAGCCACAATAAAACAAAACAAAAAAATAAATAAGGAAAGGAAAAATATATACAACATACAACAGGGGTCAAAGTCAAGAGTAAGTCTTGAGCACAACTGGGTGTTACTCAAAATAAAAACAAGCAAACAAAACCTCCAAAACCAGAACAACGGCAAATCAAATTTCCTTTTTCCTTCTTTTTTTTTTTTTTTTGAGGTGTGTGGGATTGAACCAGAACCTCACATATATGATGTAGGAGCTCTACCATGGAGCCACATCCCTAGCTGCATTTTCTATTCCTTATGATTTTCTTAATAACAGTATTTTTCTGGTTGACTGTCCTGTGAGAATATGATAATAATACACAGAACATATGAAATATGTGTAAGACAGTTTACACTTATGGTAAAGCTTCTTTCCGGCTTGGCAGCAATTAAGGTTGGGAGAATCAAAAGTCATACAGGGATTTTCCACTCTGATGCTCTTAACCGAAGTTGTTTTGAGGTCAATTGTGTAATATTCAAGGGAAACAAATTTGAAAAGATTTTGACATCAAGAATTTCCAACAAAAAAGTGTTAAGCTACAACTGAAGAATCCTGCCTCCCCCCCGCATACCCCGCCGAGCATACATACAAACACTCCAACTAAACCACCATGGCAGTATGCCCTTCAACCAAGTGTAGGAGACCCCAACCTCATGTGTGATCCCCTGCAAATCCCACAACCAAATGTGCATGACTCCTGGTCATCATATATGGTGCTGGGGATCGAGCCAGGGTGGGCTGCATGCAAGGCAAGTGCTCTGTCTCTTCAAAGGACAAAAGCAACTGAGCAACTAACTGCTCACCCACAGATGTGACCGAATAACAACAGAATCTGAGATGACCTACAAGGTCACTATGTGTGAACAGAGTCATGCTGATACTGGGGAAAAAAAAATAAAAGATCAGCCTGCAAGCCCTCATTACAGAAGTTTCTGCTCTGCAGGCAAAGAGAGAGCACAGAGGTTAAGGCACTTGCCTCACACGTAGCTGCAGCTGTTCAAATCTTATCACCAATAGGGTGTTCTGAGCACGACCTGGCATGGCTCCTAAGTGCAGAGCCAGGTATGGCCCCTCAGCCACGTGTGGCCCCTCAGTTGGCCTTGCATCCTGCTGACCCCACTTTGAATCCCAGGCTCCACAAATGGTCCCATGAGCACAGACAGGGGTCACTCCTGAGCACAGAGCCTGGAACAACCTATGTCCCTGCCCCTCAAATAAAACTCCATCACAGTTCACCCTTGACCAAACACAGGTTTGCATTGCCCACTTCCATAGGTGAAATAATTTAGTGGGCAATGCCCTCAGCCTTTTAGAGCACCCCTCCCCACCACTCATACCCCTTACCCAGCCAATTTAAAAAAGAAAAAATTAACTACTAGAAGATCAAGAATGGCCTGGGAAAGCCAGACAGGCCAGTACTCTTTTTTCCTTTCTTTTTTTGGTGTTTTTTGGGCCACACCCAGCAGAGCTCAGGGATCATGCCTGGCTGGGGATTGAATTTGGTTGGCTGCTTCAAGGCCAGCGGCCTCCCTACTGTGCTATCTCTCCGGCTCCAGCCCCAGTTTCTTTCTTTCTTCTTCTTTTTTTTTAATGTAGGAGTACTGCTGGGCTGGAGCGATAGCACAGCGGTAGGGCGTTTGCCTTGCACGCAGCCAACATGGCCGACCCGAGTTCGATTCCTCCGCCCCTCTCGGAGAGCCCGGCAAGCTACCGAGAGAGTATCTCGCCCGCACGGCAGAGCCTGGCAAGCTACCCGGGACGTATTCGATATGCCAGACACAGTAACAACAAGTCTCATGATGGAGACGTTACTGGGCCTGCTCGAGCAAATCGATGAACAACGGGAGGATAGTGACAGTGACAGGAGTACTGCTATTTATTCAGCCACTGATTAGCTGATTGAATTGGGCATGAACTCCACCTTACTTTTTTTTTTTCATAATTTTATTTATTTATTTTTCCTTCTTATATTTATTGAATCACTGTGGGAAAAGCTACTAAGCTTTCAGGTTTTTTCGGTCATACAATGATCATGGTCCCAGTTTCTTAAAGGGTAAAGAATTTCATCAGAGAACAGGCAACCACCTGGGGCTTACTCACCACGCAGTGCTCCTTACTGTCCAGCAAATTTTAAGTTAGCTAATTTAGGGCCAGTGAGATGACTCAGCGGGTCAAATGCGTTGAGCGCAGGATGCCACACTGCGTGGGCTTCTGGGCTTCTGGGCCAGGAGTGGCCCCTTTGTACTGAGCTGAGAGTAGCCCCTGAGACCACCTGGTGTGACCCAAAATTGACCAGTTTTTTTTTTTTTAACAGTGAAAACTTCCTCACACAACTTCCTAAGCATGTGAAGACAAATAAGTGCTGACAAAGGGGTTGGTCATTGTATAGGGGATTAGTGGCCTTGGTCCCATCAGCTGCCACAAGAACCACCCCAGCCAAGCAGTGGTGGTTGCACTATCTCAGGAATGAGGAAACCGCCACACCTGCCCGTCCTCTGAATTGCAAAACATGCATCACCTTTGGGTTCGGGTGCCGGCCGATGACCAGGCGCACAGGTCCTGGGGGGCATTTGCTCAGGATGGAATGGACCTTGCTCAGAGCAGCGTGGCGCACGTTGACCGAGTTCACTTCCAGGATCTGATCTCCACGGCTGGGGACAGAGCGACACGATCATTTCTGAACACATCCTCGGAATACTTCCCAGCCAAAAGGTTTTTCAGAAAACTTGGGCATACTGATACTGGTGTGTACCACCAGAGGGTCGACATTTGGATGCCCGCCCTCCCCCCGCCCCAAGCCGAGCAGTGTGTCACTCTGGTGGTTCATTCTTGGACATCCCATGGGACACTGTGTGCCATCGGTGGCTCACACTTGGATGCCACACCAGACTGCACCACCAAATGTGTACAAGAGTTCATGACGTGGGTTTGGCAAACAGAAACAAAAAAAGTGGCCATGGAGTTGAAATCAATGTACTTATTATAGATGCTTTCATGAATTTCATTTATAGTCATTGAAAGAAAGGAGGATTTATTTAACAAAGTTGCCAGGTGCTGAGACACACTGATTGCATCAACATATTAAAGAAGCAAATGACACGGCTGCTTTGTGGGGGAAAAAAAGGCACCAGATCCCTCTAAAGTCTTTAGATTGTGTATCTCTTTGCATTTCCAGAAGGACCACAATGAGAACAGTAGATAAAAAATCAGCAGGAAGGGCACCCCGCTGAACTCGCCCAACTCTGGATCATCAGATGATAGCTCGTCAACTTCTGCCCATCTTGAAATGATTATTGTAATATACTTTAAGGAGGAAATGTCTGAAGCTCAAAGGTTGCCCAAAAATTTGTTAAAAAAAAAAACCAAAACAAAACAGTTCAGATTTGAACAAATGAGAAATTGGGGACAAGATGCTCATTTTGACTTGAAATTATAGAGAGAGAACACGGTACAAAGGAACAAAGAGGCTTTCTGTGGTGTTTAAAGAATGTTCATTTGGCAGGCTCCAGACATATGGAACCATTCAAGGAAGAAACATCATCTTGGGATGTCATTAAAGGATTTTTTTTTCCTTGGGTTCTAAAAGTATATTTTCTTTAATGTACTTTGGACGATTTGTCAAAAATTTTTTTGTATGGAAATTCACTCTGATGATTAACTTAAAGCATAATTTAAACGATTAACAGAACCCCAAAATGGCAACCTCTAGGAATGTCATTTTAACAATTTCTCAGTTGCTCCAGAACTTAGGGAGAGAAAGTTGATACTGTTTTCATAGCGTGCTTTGCACAGTCCACGTACATTTTTGTGAAATTTCAGTGGGCACAGACTTATTGCAAATACTATTTAATAGAATACCTAGACAGCTCTTGCATAAACAGAATACCCAGGCTAAAAACCCAACTAGCTGGATGGAGAACTCAGACATGCTGGCATTTCAGACGCTTGAAAAAAATGAATGAGGCAGAAAAGACATAATAGTAGTGAAGACCTAGTCAAGGGCTTCTTGGCTTGTGATACTGAACCATTCTGAGAAGATCCCAGAATCTCATATGAATTTTAGATAAATGAACAGTGGAAAAAATTCTTTGCTAATCATCACTATCCAAATAGCCTTGTCTGTCCACGTTTCTGAAACTGATCTTCCACATCCAAATAGAACAAAATGGGTTCAGAAAGCCAAGCTCCGAGAGTCCCATCGAATTTCCCGGACAGAAGCTTTTCCTCTCTGCAGATGCTATTCACTGCGGCCCTAGCGGCAGTGCTTGCAAATAGCGCGATTTAAAAAATCCCACCAGGGTCATAAGCGAGGGGATAAGTATTCACACACTTGCCCCCTTGGGGCTGGTTACGAACCTCAGGTTGCTCTCCATCTTGGCCACGGATCCAGGCGCCAGGCTGTGGATGTAGATGCCCGGAGGGCTGTTCTCCAGAGCCAGGCAGCAGGCCCCGATGCCCAGTCCGACTCTCGGCTCTGGGAGCCAAGAAAAAGTTAGAAAAAAGAATCGAAGTGACTTGGAGCTGCATTACTATAGACTCAGACGGATACTCATTTACTTTTGGACCAGACATAATGTAAATCTTGCTTTTCTCTGTCAACATTGCCATCATCTACAGTCAATGAAATGAGAGCTAAGCTCAGACTGTGAATTATTCAATGGTCCACCCTTTGCTTCTTAAGCCTGATTTTGGAAATAGGCAGAAGTAATTTTTTTTTTTTCATTCTGGATAAGAAACTTCAGGTTTCCTTTCATCTCTTTTATTTAGGAATTAATCTTTTTTTTTTTCCTTCTGTTTTTGTTTTTGGGACACACCTGGCAGTACTCAGGGCTTACTTCTGGCTCTGTGCTCAGGGATTACTCCTGGCTCTGAACTCAGGAATTACTCCTGGTGGTGCTGGGGGGACCATACGGGATGCTGGGGATCAAACCTGGGTCAACCGCGTGCAAGGCAAACACCCTACACGCTGTACTATCAATCCAGCCCCAGGGATCATTTCTGTCTAAGATCAGGGGACCATATTTGGTGCCGCAAATAGAACTGGAGGCAGGAGTCAGACTTGTTCAAGGAAAGTGCCCTGTCCACTGTAGATTTCTCCAGCCCCAATCTTTAAATTTTTTAAATTAGTTGTCATCGGGGGCTAGAGTGATAGCACAGCAGGTAGGGCGTTTGCCTTGCATGCAGCCAACGTGGCCGACCCTGGTTCGATTCCCAGCATCCCACATGGTTCCCCGAGCACCGCCAGGAGTAATTCCTGAGTGCATGAGCCAGGAGTAATCCCTGAGCATCGCCGGGTGTGACCCAAAAAGCAAAAAAAAAAAAAAAAAAAATAGTTGTCATCTTTCATTTTTTTTCTTGTCTACTGGGGGGCCACACTCAGTGATGCTCAGGAGTTACTCCTGGTTCTGCACTCAGGAATTATTCCTGGTGGTGCTCAGGGGGCCGCATGGGAAGAGAGTTTGAGCTCCAGTCAGTTCAATGCAAGGCAAGTGCCCGCCCTCTCTACTTTCTCCAGCATCCTGCTCATTATATTTCTATGGGAGAGGAAGAAAAGGAAATATGAAAAACAGCAAGCTTTTCAGTGATTTTTAGCTACTGACGTCAATTGTGTTGTTAACTATAGCCTTTTGTTCTTTAAATTTTTATATTAGTTCTTGGGGCTGGAGCAATAGCACAGTGGGTAGGGCGTTTGCCTTGCATGCGGCCGACCCGGGTTCAATTCCCAGCATCCCATATGGTCCCCTGAGCACCACCAGGGGTAATTCCTGAGCGCAGAGCCAGGAGTAGCCCCTGTGCATCGCTGGGTGTGACCCAAAAAGAAAAAAAAAATTTATATTAGTTCTTGATTTAAGCTAGTCAATGAAAAAAAAATTTGTGGTACAGGATAGTGCCAGGGATCAACACAAATAGGATGTGTGTAATTCCATTCAGTTTCATCCAGAGATTTCTTTGAAAAAACAAGAGGAAAGATGATTATTTGACATACATAGATTCATTTAGTGCTTAAAGCACTTTGTGCTTCTGCTAACTTTCCTTCTCTTTCATAAATAACCGCAGTCTCTATTTTCAAATCCATTAAGCAAATACCCTCCAGTGTTGTTAACAGAGGTTATTTGAAAAGGGACACGTTCTAGAAAAAAAATGAGCCTGCCCTAGCCTTAAGCAAGGCTCTGGGATTAGTCCTGAGCTCCACTGGGTATGGCTCAAAAGTTGAAAAAAAAAAATTAGGGTGAGGGCAGGGCACAGGGTAAAGCACTTGCCTTGCACAGGGCCAACCCCCAACCTGGTTCAATCACCCTGCATCCCATATGGTCCCCCGAGCACTGCCTGGAGTAATTCCTGAATGCAGAACCAGGAGTGAGCCCTGAGCATCACTCGGGTCTGGTTCAAAACCAGAGCCAAACAAACAAAGGCTAAGAACAGACTAGAAATCACTGTTCTTGGGCCTCTGGAAAGCAAGCAAGGATGCCTAGGATCACCTTTGTTGAGTGTGACTTCCATAACAATCCTGTCCTTGGGACCAGGCGTCTTCCGGCCCAGGGATGAAGAATTGCCCTCGTCAGGGCCCACGGCTGTGGTGCCCCCACTGGCGTTGAAATTCGGGGAGCTGGATCTGCTCATGTGGGTGGGTGTTGAACATGGCGTCAGGCTGGGGCTCAGTAATTTTGTGCGTACTGTTAAGACAAACAATCCACTCCGGATTTGCTGAAGAAACAACAACAACAACAAAAAGGAGGGTCAAAGCTTTCAGGGCTAAATATTAAAAATACACCAACAAAGACAGTTAAAGAAGTCACCGCACAGGACGCCAGAAGGTAATAAGGAAGAGATTCAAAGAACTAGGAATGTCATTACCTTAAAGGTGTGAATGGCTTCTTGAAACGTCAAGCCCTTGATTGGTATTCCATTCACATCTAGGATTTCGTCCCCTAGCGACCAAACAGGAGAATTATGTTAACATCAGGTTGTAATTCACTGGGACTGCCAGGACATTTCTGGCCCCTGATTTACAACATAACAAACTGTTTTATTCCGACCCACTTTCATTAGCTTAGTTCCCAGGAATGCCACACTTGGGATAATTAATGGCAGAGTGTGCTCTTCTGCAATAATTCTGTACTTCCGCCTTTCGTTACAATGGGGTTGGGGGCCAGAGAGAGGTGTCAGTGGTCTGGAGTGCATGCTTGGTTCCTGGCATGCTTCTGCATGCTTCTCTGAGTACTGCCAGGAGTGACCCCAACCACTGCATTTGGAGTACCCCTTGAACACACTGGATGTGGCATCTCCCCATATATCACCCCAACCCACTCCATCATGAAACAGCTATGGAAAACAACATGAAGATTTTAATTTTCAAATAGCAGAAGACTAATATCCAAGGTCAGGGAAAACAGGGACCAGGAGGACTGGTCAATGGTTGGAATCTACCACAAGTGTGTGGGGGGGCAGAGCGTAGGTAAGATAGAGAAGGGACCAGTATGGCAATAATAGTTGGAAATGATCAGACTGGACAAGAACTGAGTGTTGAAAGTAGGTAAAGGGATATTCCTGAGAACCTTTCAGTATCTGTATCAAAAATCACAATGCCCTAAAGGAGGGAGGAAGAGAGGGAGAGAGGGAGAGAGAGAGAGAGAGAGAGAGAGAGAGAGAGAGAGAGAGAGAGAGAGAGAGAGAGAGAGAGCGCTGGTGGGAGGAACCTGGGGTAACTGGTCTGGTGCTGGGACATGTACACTGGCGGAGGGAAGGATGGGTGATGTAACACCTTATGACTGAAACTTAATCATGAACAGCTTTCTAAGGGTCTATCTCACAGCGGCTCAATAAGAAAAAAAATTTTTAAAAAAAAAGAAATATTAGAAAGAGCAAAAGAAAAAATAGTAAAATGTGTCCATCTCCTGTTTCACAAATCACTGTATCACTGTATCACCGTCATCCCGTTGTTCATTGATTTACTCAAGTGGGCACCAGTAATGTCTCCATTTGTCTCAGCCCTGAGATTTTAGCAGCTTCTCCTTACTTGTCTTTCCCAATGCTTCCTTATTGGAAGCTCTTTCAGGGTTAGGGGAATGAGGCCCATTATTGTTACCGTTTTTGGCACATCAAATACGCCATGGGTAGCTTGCCAGGCTCTGCCATGTGGGTGGGATACTCTCAGTAGCTTGCTGGGCTCTCCAAGAGGCATATATATATATATATATAATTATAGAGAGAAATATATATATGTATATATTAATATATATTTATATATGTATATATATTAATATATAAATATACATATATATATTTCTCTCTATAATTTGTTGCCGGCTGGCCAGCCAACCCAAGTTCGATTCCTCCACCCCTCTCGGAGAGCCCGGCAAGCTACCGAGAGTATCTCGCCCGCACGGCAGAGCCTGGCAAGCTACCCGTGACATATTCGATATGCCAAACACAGTAACAACAAGTCTCATAATGGAGACGTTACTGGGCCCGCTCGAGCAAAATGGATGAACAACGGGAGGACAGTGCAGTGCAGTGATTTGTTGCCTACTGTCTGAACTCCAACAAATACGGTGTGGTAATTATGTTGCAGTGCTGGGACCTCACACATGAAGCATGTGGTCTAATGCTGAGCCAACCTCTGGCCCAACCCTCACACCCCCCCCCCCCCCTTTAAAGTAAATAGCAATACTGTGATTTATTTCCTGAATGTGGTTCCTTTACTTCCTGAATGTGATACATCTCCTGAAAGACAGGTACTGAGGGAAAAAAAAACTCAAGATCTATGAAGAAGTTCTGGTGGGGCGGGGAGGGGGGAGAGACAGAAAAGGGGGGGAGGGAGAGAGAGAGAGAGAGAAGAGAGAGAGAGGCTTGAGGGTGACAGGAGGGAACCTGGGGATACTGGTGCTGGGAAATTTATACTGGTGGAGGGAAGGGTGTTGGAATACTGTATGACTGAAATCCAATCATGAACAGCTTTGTAAGTTGTCTATATCACAGTGATCCAATAAAAAAAAAATTGAAAAAAAGTTCTGAGAGTGTGAGGTTCAGGGGACTATAGTTAACAACCCCGAGTTATAGACTTGCAAGCTGTTGAGAGGTCCGACAGGCCCTCAGCTCTCTCCCTCTCACACAGTCAGTGTGTGAGCGGGTGTGGGTTCACATGACTGCCACCCAACTGTGGTCGTCACTTGGCAATATGTATGTGTGCATCAAATTACTGAGTGTTCCTTCAGTGTATACAACGTTTATGTCAGTTATGTCTCACTAAAGCAGAGGTGGGAGCGAAAGCTTTTGGTCAAGAATGTTCATGCAGTGTGAGATGGGAGGTCGTCTCAGGTAGGGGAAGGCGAAAAAGATGTTTACAATACTCCAGCCCTGAGACAAGAATGGAGTTCATGGCAGAGTTCAGAATTCCTGGCATGCGAGGTTCCGAGTGTGATCCCTGGCACTGCATGCCCCCTGAGCATTCCCAGGTGGGACCCTATCTATAAAAATACCATGGTCGTGAAATATGTTTAGACGTGGATGGACATGGAGAGTACTGTGCTGAGTCAGAGGGAAAGGGACAAACAGAATGACTGCACCCACTATTGCAAGTCACAGTTCCTAAAAGGAAGAGAGAGAGAGAGAGAGAGAGAGAGAGAGAGAGAGAGAGAGAGAGAGAGACAGAGACAGAGACAGAGAGACAGAGAAAGGGAGACAGAGACAGAGAGAGGGAGAGAAAGAGAGTCTGCTATAGGGCAGGGAGGATGGGCGGAAAACTGGGCATATTGGTAGTGAGAAATATACACTGGTGAAGAGATGGATGTTGGAACATTGTATGACTCAACCATGAACAACTCTGTAACTGCGTATGCCATTGTGATTCAATTAAAATATATTTAAAAATATATTTCATTCATTCATTCATTCATTCATCATCCTGTTATTCGTCGATTGCCTCGAGCAGGCCCCAGTAACGTCTCCTTCGTCCTAGCCCTGAGATTATATTCAAGGCTCTTTAGGAGAATGAGACCCATCATTGTTACTGGTATTTGGCATATTGGCTATGCCACGGGGAGTTTGCCAGACTCTGCCCTGTGGGCAGGCTACATTCGATAGCTTGCAAGTTTGTCCAAAGTAGGAATGAGATAATAAGATGTCATAAAAAGATGTCCTGATAAGATGTCTCGGCCGCGCGGTTCTGGGAGCTGGATTTTATAGTCTCTGAGTCTTGGCTGCTGATGGGATTACACGGTGCCAGGGGGCCAGGTGGTGGGTGTGACCCCCGCCTACTGGAATTTGGAGGATCTGGGTGGAGGATGCTCAACTCCAATCGATTAAAATATATTAAAATAATTAAATGATCCCCCCCCCCACACACACAAACTCTTAGGAATCATCAAGGCAACTCTCAGTAATGCGGTCAAAGACTAAGGGAATGAGATAGCCTTTTAAAAACTGAAATAAAATGGTTAAGCTAGGACTGGAGAGATGTCAACTGTTTGAGCGCTTGCTTTGCACCTGTGGGGGGTCCGGATCTGGTCCCCAGTAATGCCTGGTCTTCCCAGCACTAGCAGAAAACACACCCCCACCCTCCCCACCCCCGCCTGTGAGCACAGACCTAGGAGTGGCTACTGAGCACTGCTGGGGGTGGCTCTCAAACAAAAACAAAGCAGAAAATGATGCAGCCATTTTTCACAGAGCATCTCATTTAATGCTCACAACAACTTGGGTGTTGGTTATTAATACTCCAAGATGACCACCAGGGAATAGAAACTCCCCATTGCATTTACCTGTCCAGAATCATGGTAAATGTTAGGTTCAGGACAGGTCTAAACAGCTCCCACCATGCTCAAGAAGACTCCTCCTACCTTCTTTCAGTCTTCCATCCTCCGCAGCTGATCCATTGGGGAAGATGGTCTTGACAAAAATCCCCATCTGGCCTCGGATACAGTCGCGACCTCCGGCAATGCTGAAGCCCAGGCCCTACACCCAGAGAGATGGGGCGCAGGTTGTCACAGCAGGGTCCCCCTGGGGCTGTCATGCCCTCTCCACCCTGCCACTCAAGCACCCTTTCCCACCAAGAGCAAAATCAGATGAACTAGCGGTGAATTCGAGTTGGGAGCCTTTGGTCCCTTCCCTCCTTGGGTCTCTTGGCATCGTGTTCACGAGGTGTTCCATTGAAAGGAGAAACTTGTGAACTTGATCAGGGAACCAAGTACATAGAACTACCTTGAATGCTCCCAAGGGCATCCTGTGCAGATCCACCCAGCTCATGAGGGTTAGCTCAGGCTCCTCAAGTCCCGGTGTGGGCCATTCTTTTGCATCTGCCTTTTCTTCTTATCTCCTATCGATTTTTTTTTAATTTTTTGGGTCACACCCAGCGATGCACAGGGGTTACTCCTGGCTCTGCACTCAGGAATTACTCCTGGAGATGCTCGGGGGACCATATGGGATCCTAGGAATCGAACCCAGGTCAGCTGTGTGCAAAGCAAATGCCCTCCCTGCTGTGTGATCGCTCCAGCTCTTCCTATTGATTTATTTATTGGGCATTCACTCCACCCTCACTGTGCCTGGGGTCCCTCGGTGCCCATGAGCGTTTGTCCATCTCCCTCAGAAGCCCAGAGGAATGGGTGCTTGAGTGGTCGCTCAAATCCCTGCACAGACCCCCTAACGCTGCCCTCCTCATGGCATCCATTTCAGGCGAACACAGTGTTCTGGTCAAGGAACCCCACATGCTCTGGGCCGCGGCCGCACAGTGCTCACCTTGCCTTTCTCTTTGTACAGCCCAATGATGGAGATGACCGAGGGTCGGATGAGCCTCCAGGGTGACTCCACCTGCGTGGTGCTGAGCGAGCGAGTGGACTTCTTCACGATCTGGTACTCCTGAAAGGCAGCGTGGTCAGTCAGAGACACAGATTTGGTACGTAGAGATCGCAGCCTGCTGTGGTGCTCTGCGGTCGTTGGGTTCATTGTAAATATGAAAGGGGGGCCCAGGAGATAGTGCAGGGGTAGGGCACATGCCCTTCACATATGGAACTGCTATGCAGTTCCTTTTTTTTTTTTTTTGTGAGGGAGAGGTTCTGTGCCACACCCAGGTGTGCTCAGGGGTTACTCCAGGTGGTGCACCGGCGATCATATTGGGTGCTGGGGATTGAACCCGGGTCAACTGTGCACAAGACAAGAGCCCTACCCACTGTGCTATCTCTCCGGGCCTTTCCCAATCAATTCCTGGCACCATACACCCCAGTAACACCACATCCTTGGGCCCAAACATTCGACTAGATGACTTGACAGGCTGAGTATTGCCAGAAGTGGCACCTGAGCCCCCTCAGCGCCATTTGAGGGGGGCCCCCAGGGAGAGCTGCCGGGGAATACTGAGCCTTTTCATTGCACTATCCTGGGCTACTCGTGTCCACAGAGCTTATCTCTTATTTTCTAGAACTGAGTCAGGATTCAGAACCTGAGGGGGGTGGGCAGGAGCGATAGGGAGTAAGGGTAGGGAGTTTGCCTTGCATATGGCCAAACTAGGTTTTATTCCCAGCATCCCACATGGTCCCCTGAGCACCGTCAGGAATTACTCAGGAGTAATTCCTGAGCACATGAGCCAGGAGTAACTCCTGTGCATCATTGGGTGTGACCCAAAAGTGAAAAAAAAAAAAAGCAGAACCCAAGAGAGACCCAAGATGTAGCCTGACCCTGCTGTGCTCAGGTCCTGCCTTGGAAATGACCCCCTTGCCCCAGTCCAGATGTGGCATTGGAGTTAGAAAGCGACTCATGGTGCCGAGTTTCCTCCGCTCACGCTAATTTTTTGACAAACCCCAAAGCCCAAACCCAGACAACTGTTATTCCAGATAAAACATCCCGCTAAGAAACCGCGGCCACTTCAGTTATAAGCCCACACATTTGGAAAAGAAAGCGTGCTTTTTCCCCCCATAAGCCACACTTTCCCTTCCCGGCGCACTGTGGCTCAAATCTTGATCTCTTTTTCCTGCCCAGCACCCGCAGTGTAGACGTGTGGAGTGGGGCACACTATTTGTAATCTAAGCAAGAGGGAGTTCCTGCACCTCTTGTTGTTCTTAGAGTAATAGTCTCGGAAATGGCAGGTATTTCCACAGAAGCAAAATAAAGAAACCACCTCCTGTTTAATATGAGAAAATACACCACAGAAAATAGTTCTTAGCCATGATTAGTCTACTTCTGCACTCAAAGGTAGAAATGAGATGTCTGCTATTAGAGTGCTGCATTCCTGGAAGCTTCGGACAATGCTATTTTGCAGTTTCACAAAGTAGATGCCAGTAATGTGGGTCTTCCACACTGATTCATTAACAAAATGATGTTGGCTTGGCAAGTCTCTTCCTAAAACCACCACGGAGACCTCCAGCACAGAGGTTTTCAAATTAGGGGTTCATGTGTGAGTTAGTAAGAAAACTCTTTCTGTGTTAACGAGTCTTTAAGGACACCTCATTCCATCTCTTCTTGGGTGGGTGGGGGGCAAGTATAAACCAAAGGTCTGCATGCTTCCCTGCTGTCTTGGGGCCATTGGTCTAACAGAGCTGTCAGATACAGTGGACAGGGTCACTGTGATGTCTACAGGTGAGCTTTGATCAATGTAGAGGCCAGAGCACTGATGGTGGTACAACTGGAAATCTGTGATCATTTTGGACTCTCACCAAACTTCACTATAGTAATCCTTTAGTATCTTCTGGGGACTGGATTTAGGAACTCCTTCTGGATACCATACTTGTGGCAGTGCAAGTCACGTGTAGCCAGTCCTCATATCTGTGGGCTCTGTATTTGTGGATTCAAACAAATGAACATAGGGGACGATGGAATCTGTAAATCTATGTCTCACTTAACCTGGGAACGCAAACCCCTGTTATTCAAGGGTGAACTGCATTGTATTGAAGATTAATTAAAAGTGTACTCCTCACTCTCACTAACCACTTTTCATTGCACGGTAAACACAAGTGGCTGCCATATTGCATGGTTTAGATAGAAAATTTTCTATGTTAGATTAGTTTATACTATGTCATTGAAAAAGCCTTACTGAACAGTTGTACTCTAGGATATATATATATGTATATATATATGTATATATATATATATATATATATATATACACACACATAGGCCAAGGTTGGGTTGTGTGTGTGTCCAACAGCAATTCTCAGCCAACCAATTTCAGTTAATGCCAGGGTCAGAGGATGTGGTACTGCACCAGCCCAAAAGCGTATAATTACCCAGGCCACCCCAGCAGTGCTCATGTGTTCTTGAATAAAACCTGGGTCCTGTGCCCTGAACACTGTACTATCTCCCAGATCCTCTAGACAGTACTTTCTAGTGACAGGAGAAAGATTAAGAAGGGGCTGAAGTGTTATGGTGGTTATGGTGCTTGCCTTGCATGTAGCCAACTCCAGTTTGATCCTGGTACCCCCTGGGTTTGGTTTTCTGAGCTCCCCCAGGAGTTATCCCTGAGTATAGAGCCAAGACTAAATCCTGAGCACTAGGAAGTGTGGCCACCCACCTCATCCTCTACCAAACTCAAAAGAAAAAAAGAAGATAAATCTTAATGGGGAAGAGGTAGGAAATGAGAAGAGCCGAAAAAAGAAAACCTGGGAGAAGAACCAGCCTTCTGCCCCCGCGCCTGAATGTCCTCGCTCGCCGGGACCCCTTGGAGGGGAGCGGGTTGAGCTTTCCTCCCCGCCCCAACCAGGGCTCCGGCAGCCAAAGACCTCCAGGACCAGCCACCACCATGCTGAGACCACTCTCCGCACACATGAAGGTACTGGCAGAGGGACAAAGTCACATGGGTTCCGGGGCCGAGATCTCCAAGCCTACTCGGATTTGGGCCGAGCATCCTCCACCCAGATCCTCCAAATTCCAGTAGGCAGGGGTCTCCTCCAAATTCCAAGACTCAGAGACTATAAAAACCAGCTCCCGGAACCGCGCGGCTGCAAATCTCATTCCTACTTGGACAAACTGGAAGGTTTACCGAATGTAGCCTGCCCACAGGGCAGAGTCTGGCAAACTCCCCTTGGCGTACCCAATATGGCAAATACCAGTAACAATGATGGGTCTCATTCTCCTAAAGAGCCGTGAATATAATCTCAGGGCTAGGATGAAGGAGACGTTACTGGGGCCTGCTCGAGGCAATCGACGAATAACAGGATGATTTGTGATTGTGATTGTGATTGTGATTGGGAGAAGAACCTTATGTATTTTTTCTAAAATTTTCATGCCTATGCTTTCTGTAAGTCTAGTTAGGATGAGGGATTTCAGGGATGTACAGATTCTGGGTAAAGGAATTCCTTCTCTGCTCACCAGTATTTTTTTCTTTTTTTCTTTTTCTGGGTAACACTCAGAGATGCTTAGGGGTTACTTCTGACTCTGCACTCAGGAATCACTCCTGGTGGTGCTCGGGGAACCATATGGGATGCTGGGGATTGAATCTGGGTCAGCAGCATGCAAGGCAAACACCCTACCCACTATGCTATCACTCCAGCCCCTCCTGTTCTCCAGTCTTTAAGGACAACTCACTCCATCTCTTCTTGGGGGACAAGTGTGAAAAGTGTGAACCAAAGTTCTGCATGCTTTTATGCTGTCTCCGGGCCACTACTCTGACAGAGCTGTGAGACACAGTGGACAGGGTCACCCCCTCAATGCTTGGTCTCCCTGGCCAGATGGTAGTGCTCCTTCCACTCCAGCTGCTTACCTGCAGCCTCGGACCCCTTCTCCTCCGCCCACCTCCCCCCACTACTGGTCCAAGTGGCTCATTCTGAGTCACTTGTCTCCAGTTACTGCTCTGGGGATGTTTTACCCAACTTCCATTTTGCTCCTTTCTCTTGGTACCTCAACTCAAGTTGTCAGCACCCTTGGATACAACACAGATGAGCCAACTAGCCCCGACTCTGCAACATGGCACTTTCAGTTTGGCTAGTCAGGTCAGATCTTCCTTCATGGTGAGTCTATCACATTGAGAAACACACCTCTGTAGATTCCCTTTCTCCTGTCTGTCTGTTATTCTACAGCTTCTCTCTCTCTCTCTCTCTCTCTCTCTCTCTCTCTCTCTCTTCTCTGTCTCTCTGTCTCTGTCTCTGTTGCCATGGCTGCTCTTCCCCCCCATCCCATCTCTGCTTTGTCAAAGGCCTGAGGTGATGACGCCAGTGGTTCCTCAGGAGTCCTTCAGCTTAACATCCTACAAGTTCCCCGGAGACTGAGCCTGCCCCTCAGTTGGTTATGAGGTGTCTGCCCAATGTGAATTGGGATGAGGGATGAGTTCACTATGGAGAGCCGCCCCCTGACAGACTCTAGATGATTAACACAAGCACCCATTGCCGCCTCTCCTCAGCCCCCTTCCACCTCGGTTGTGGGCATCAGGACTGAGTAAACAGGTAGTTCCCAGGCCCAGCAGAGATGTCCACACACTCTCTCTCTCTCTCCCACATCCCCACGTCTACCCACACAGTTGTTCCACTGACATGGGACACACCCCCTCTAAGTGATGGTGGTTCACCACAGACCATGAGGCGCCATTGTCTCCTGGCAGTTGTGAGCAGCATTTGGTTCCAAAACACACAGGGACGGGGACCAAGCTGTTGAGATCCGACCCAGGATTGTTTTTCTTCTCTAGCATTTTCAGACCCTGGGCTGACTTCCTTGTTGCTGCCCTGGATAGAGTTGACTTGCTTCCCGACATCTCCAAGCACTCCCGGCCCACACAGAGGGCAGCTCCTCAGAACACGGAAGACCCTGGTTGGTCTTTAGAGGAATCCAAGAAAGTCTTGAGACCCAGGGCAGAGACACTCTCCCAGCCAACGGCGCCCGTAAGAGAGTCCAAGAGTCCAAGCTGGACTTACCTGTGAGGTGCTGGTGGAATCCAGCAGCTGGGGCAGTGAGTGCTTCCGACCATCTCGGGAAACCTCCAACATCCTGGCCCGGGGATCCCCGTTCCGCAGCATTAACTCGTTATATTCCTCAACAGACTCTAAACGGTGTACACCCCCTTGGGAAAAAACAAAGAGGAGAAAGATGACTTGATATGGGACAAAGAGAGTCTCACGGCAGTAGAGGCACGAACCTGTTGCGTTGTTAGCATACACAGAGATTCCAAAAGGATTCCAACGGTTGTACTCTGCATCTCTGTATCAACTACCTGTGTGTGGAGTCATGGGTGCCAGGTGATGAAGAAGGGGCCAGGATTTACAGGGATCAGACTAGACCAGGCGCAACATGCACATTTTGCTCTGTAGGATGTAGCCATGGTTGATAGGATAATAAGCAAGAGCGAGAACGTTCTCAGAGATGGTTTCCTGGGCTGGAGGGCTGGGTATGACTTTGTGGTTGGTTAGATTGATCACTGTGGCAGGCACTTTTCTTGTATAGCAATGACCTTTTAAGCAAACCTTCTATTAAGATTTAACAACCTAGAGAAAGGCACACAATCCTAAGTACGCAGTTCCATGATTAAAAAAAAAATACACACCCCAAAACATCTTAGGGCCCTCATCCAAGTAAACATTCTCCCAACTTCTATTATCATTGATGACTTTGGCCCATATTTAACTTTCTATAAATGAATATACAGAATGTGTATTTTATTTTTCAGCTCCCTGTCCTTAATATTTGTTTGTGAACTTAAAACCATGCTATCTGTCTGTTCATGTAATCTCTGTATACCAATTCACTGTATAAACACATTGTCATTTATTTTTCTATTACGTTGCTGATGGACATTTGCTTTGCATCCAGTTTTAGGTCTTAAATAAGGGTCAGCAAACTATGGAAAGGTCAGAGTAAGTGTTTTAGCTTTTATAGTCTAAAATGGTAACTCGCATAGTTTTATGGGTGTTTTAAAAAAAATATTATGGGCTGGGCCAGAGTGATAGTACAGCAGGTAGGGCGTTTGCATGGGGATGACTCAGGTTCGACCCCCTGCATCCAATATGGTCCCCTGAGCACCGCCAGAAGTGATTCCTTAGTGCAGAGCCATGAGTAACCCCTGAGCATTGCTGGGTGTGACCCCCAAAAAAAGCAAAAAAAAAAGTTACAGGCTGGGGAGATAGTCCAGGGGTTAATGCACTTGCCTTGCACGCAGCCAACCCTACTTGATCTACAACACTATATAAAAGGTAAAAAGGTAAAGGCCCTCCCGTTGATCATCGATTTGCTCGAGCGGGCCCAGTAACGTCTCCATTGGAGACTTTGTTGTTACTGTGTCTGGCATATCGAATACTCTCGGTAGCTTGCCGGGCTCTCCGAGAGGGGCGGAGGAATCGAACTCGGGTCGGCCATGTTGGCCGCGTGTAAGGCGAACGCCCTACCTGCTGTGCTATGGCTCCAACAACACTATATATGACTTGGATATTTCCAAGAGTGATCTCTGAGCACAGAGTCAGGAGGATTGCTTGGTGTGGCCCTGGCGATTCTTTTGCCCCTCTTGGAGAGCCCAGCAAGCTACTGAGAGTATCTTGTCTGCACGGCAAAGCCTGGCAAGCTCCCCATGACATATTCGATATGCCAAAACCAGTAACAACAAGTCTCACACAATTTGTTGTGAGAAGTTACTGGTGCCCGCTCAAGCAAATCGATGAACAATGGGAGGACAGTGCTACAGTGCTACCGTGACTCAATATTTTATTGAGTACTGTGACTTATAAGACTGTGAATATTAATGTTTCTGGAGTACAGTGCAACTACACTACAGATACTACTAGAGTATCAGCATCTCTACACCTTGTCTCTAAGTCTCCTTCTCCTCCTGCCCCTCCAATTCCCCACTTCCGTGTCCTGGGCAGAATCTCAGCGTCGGCACTATTGACCATTTTTTTATTCCCTTACCATATTTCTTCTATTGTTTTTTTTTTCTTTCCTGTAACAACACCCAGGTTAACTCAAAACATTTAAAGAAATTTGTTTCAGTTACTCTGATTTACGCCTACCGTTAGTGACCGGATCCCAACAGCACACCCCCACCAGTGTCCACTTCCCTCTACCACTGTCTGAGGTCCTCCCTGCATTTACCCTAGAGGCCACAAAACTCTGAAAAGAAATCCGTCTGTTTCTTTTCACTCCACATATGAGAGAAATCCGTATTTTTTTCTCCCTTTGGCTCACTTCACTCAGCACAATGTTCTCTGCTGAGGTCCACCTGCAGTGAATTGTTTACAAATGAGTTCCTGTTTTCTTACAGTTGAGTAGTATTCCATATTTTAGTCATTGTTCCTTTCATGGGGCAGAATATTTTTAGTTGAACACAATCCCCATTTGTTTATTTTGACTTCTGTTTTCTTAGTCAAGGACTTCAGATCACTGAAGATGCCTCTGAGGTCAACAGCATGGAGAGTTTTGCCTACATATTCCTTGTCCTCAATATTTGTTGGTGAACTTAAATATCAAATATTTAACCTCAACATTCACTCAAATATTAAGTACTGTGCTCGCTTTGGCAGCACATATACTAAAATTGGAACGATACAGAGAAGATTAGCATGGCCCCTGCGCAAGGATGACACGCAAATTCGTGAAGCGTTCCATATTTTTTATAACTGTACCTCATGGTTTTTCACTAATAAAAAAAGAAAAAAAAAGAAATAACAGATATTCTAAATTAGAAAAAAAAAATTAAGTACTAATTTACATATTTAATATTTAACCTCAATTGTGACCTAATGAATTCAGGTCAATATTGTGGTTTTTAATCCATTTTGGATTAACTTTTGTATACAGTGTGAGATCAAGGTTCAGATTCTTTTTTTTTTTTTTTTTTTGGTATGTGGCTGTCTAGTTTTCCCAGCGCCATTTGTTAAGAGGCATTTCAGGATCCACTGCATGTACCCAGCCACTTAGTCATAGATTTACTGTCCAAGTATCTGAAGGTTGATCTCTGAGCTCTCAATTCTATTCCATTGGTCCGAGTCTGTCTTTATGCTACTGCCACACGGTTTTATTTACTATAGCTTTATGGTACCATTTAAAGTCAGTGAGAATAGATCTCTTGATCTTATTTTGTCGCAGGATTTCTTTGGTCTCAGGGAGGGGTTTTTTTTTTTTAATTAACTGTATAAATTTTAGCAGGATTTGATCCACATCCCTTAGACACTTGGATTTTTTTTTTCTTTTTGGGTCATACCTGGTGATGCACAGGAGTTTATCCTGGCTCTGCACTCAGTAATTACTCCTGGTGGTGCTCAGGGGACCATATGGAATACTGGGAATTGAACCAGGGTCGGCCGTGTGCAAGGCAAATGCCCTACCCACTGTACTATCACTCCAGCCCCACTTGGCTATTCTTAAGAAACATTTCTATAACCCCACCCCCCCCTCCCCGGAAAGCATTTCTGGTTTGTGGACCATACAAACAGAGCTGCATGGGTTTACAGGTGCCTACTCTAGATCATTCTCTTAAAAATAAAAACAACATGGGCTGGTGCAATAATACAGAAGGTACGGCACTTGCCTTGCATGCCTCAGACCCTGGTTCCATCCCTTGACATTCCATATGGTCCACTAAGCTTTCCAGAAGCGATCCCTGAACCATAGCCAGGATTAAGCCCTGAGTACTGCCGGGTGTGGCCCCCAAACCAAAACAAACAAGCTTGTTTAAGAGTTTAAGAGAAGGGGGTCCCAGCTCCACCTACTCCCGATGAAACCCCTATGGCCACGAGCTTCCAGAAACAAAACCCAGGTATGTGGGTTCAACGACTAAAACTCTAGGCCACACGGCAGCAGTGGCGACAGGCTGTCCCTTCCCATCTCCCCGCCTGCTTGGGGTCCTGATTGTCATGCCCATGATCTGACTCCAGGTGCCAACTCAGCGCATCAACGGCCTTGATCTAGAGACTCCCAAATGAGTCTCAAAATGGATTAACCCCCTAAACAGGTGTCTCTGGATCCCAACTATTTACAATTTTAGAATTCCAGAAGCACACAGCTGTGAAACCTCTCATGATATTCATAATAAGCAATAGAAAATAAATTATCTAGCAACTGCCCCTGGCAGGCAGGTTTGAATGGTGGTGGGAAAATCCGAAATAATGGTGAGGGGAAGGTGTAATGGTGGTGGGATTGGTGTTGAAATATTGAATGTAATCAATTAATGTGAACAACCTTATGAAAATAAAATTAAAATTAAAAAAAGACAAAACAAACAAGCAAAAAAAATACCCGAAAACAAATAAAAAAATCTAAAAAAGAACATTTCAAATGGATTCCCCTTACCTTTTGGTTCTTGCTGCAATGACTCAAGGTCACACATTCTGGCCGAGTGTGTATACATGTGCTTGCTGGGGTCACCCTCTCTAGCTGTGGTGCTTGTGCTCACTTTGGATCTCTGTGTTCTCAGGCTCACACACCCACATACAGTGCCCTGGGGGTTCAGGCTGTTGTGGTGTCGGGGTCCCACATGACAGAAGTGCAGGAACCATGCCAGACCCACGTGGCAAATGAACCAGCACCTCATGCTTTCAAGCAGATGCTCTGCCACTGAGCCGCCCTGGGCCCTAGGACGTTCTCACACACATGTTCCTTGGACATGGCATTTCTGTAACTGTAGATCTTGGGGTGCAGGTTCTGGGCCCTGGGCTCTCATCCACTTTCCCTCTTGGCATGTGAATCTTTTTTCCCACATCCATCACTCTGGCCAGTGCCCACCTTTTCCTCGGAGCCACTCAGACCGATATACCAACGTGTAACGGTCTCCCCTCCCTCCCTCCCTCCTTCCCTTCGTTCCTTGGTTTTTGAGCCCTTGGTGATGCTCAGGGGTTACTCCTGGCTCTGCACTCAGGAATCACTCCTGATGGTGCTCAGGGGACCATGTGGGATCAAACCCCAAGCAGCCAATGCAAGGCAAGTGTCCTACCCACATACTATTGCTCTGGCCCCTGGTTTTTGATTTTTATTTCACTAATGATTAGTAAAACTGAGTTTCCTTATTAGCTAAAATTCATTGGATATTTTACTTTGTAAAGAGTATCTTCAAGACTTTTCTTGAGTTTCTGTCTTTTTACTGTTGATTTATCATTTTGATTATTGATAAAAGTATTTTGGACATCCAGTCTTCAGGAAGACTATCTGACCCTACGTCTGTCACTCCCCTTTCCATGTCCTTCATGGGTTTTATTTATTTTTTTTGTCTGTTTTGGACCATACCTGGCAGTGCTGGGGGGGCTGAAAATACATATTTCTGGGGGATCAAATCAGGGTAAGCTGCATGCACAGCAAGCACTCTAAAATCTATATTATATCTTTTTATGCCTTCATGGATATGTTGGTTAAACAGACATTGACAATTTAAATTTTTCTTTTGATTAGTAGATATGTGAATTATATATACATTCAGATTATCTAGAATATCAAATTCTCTTGGGTTGGAGTGATAGCACAGTGGGTAGGGCCTTGCACACGGCCAACCCAGGTTTGATTCCTCCATCCCTCTTGGAGAGTCTGGCAAGCTACCGAGAGTATCCTGTCCGCACAGCAGAACCTGGCAAGCTCCCTGTGGCGTATTCTTTATGCCAAAAACAGCAACAACAAGAATTCTCGCAATGGAGATGTTACTGGTACCAGCTCAAGCAAATCCATGAACAATGGGAGGACAGCGGTACAGTGCTATCAAGTTCTCTTAAACTACATAACATTTAATAGTGGGTAGGGCGTTTGCCTTGCGAGTGGCCAACCCAGGTTCGATTCCTTGGTCCCTCTCGGAGAGCCTGACAAGCTACCGAGAGTATCCTGCCCACAGGGCAAAGCCTGGCAAGTTCCCCGTGATGTATTTGATATGCCAAAAACAGTAACAAGAAGTCTCACAATGGAGACGTTACTGGTGCCCACATGAGCAAATCAATGAACAATGGGAGAACAGTGCTACAGTGCTACTTAAATTTCAATTGCCTTAAAATTCCTCAGTAATTTTTTCATGGGATTAAAAAAAGATTATTATTTATTTACAAAAAAAAAACCAACTGGGACCAGAGAGATCTTACAGTGGATACAGCACTTACCTGGCACATAGCTGGCCATAGTTCAATTCCCAGCACCTCATACGGTTCCCTGAGCCCCCATAGGAGTGATCCCCAAGCATAGCTTCAGGAGGAAACCCTGCACACAGCCAGGTATGGCCCCCAAAGCATATATCCATATATGAATAGATATATATACACATGTAGATGAGTCTTCAGTAGTGGTGAGAGGTTTGAAAAGTGCAAAATTATAGTATAATGAATAACACTAGACTTTTATTGCTGTTGTTGCTTGTTTTTGCATCTGATGTTCTAGGTACCAAATTCGTGGTCTCACACACATTCTACTGAGAATTCACTTCCTAGCTTCCTATTCAATTTTTTTCCTTCCTCTTCCTCTTCCTCTTCCTCCTCTTCCTCTTCCTCTTCCTCTTCCTCTTCCTCTTCCTCTTCCTCTTCTTCTTCTTCTTCTTCCTCCTCCTCCTCCTCCTCCTCCTCCTCCTCCTCCTCCTCCTCCTCCTCCTCCTCCTCCTCCTCCTCCTCCTCCTCCTCCTCCTCCTCCTCCTCTTCTTCTTCTTCTTCTTCTTCTTCTTTCTCACTGGAATGCTCCAGCTGAGCCTGAGCTCTGGTCTTGGCTCTGCCCTCAGGAATTATTCCTGGTGGACTTGGGGACCATAAGGGATGCTGGGATTGAACTAAGTTGGTTGGCTGCATCCAAGGTGAGTGCCCTACCCACTGTACTACTATTGTTCCAGTTCCCAAGGTTTTTTCCCCCCAAAGTTAATCACTGACTGTGCGACACAGGCTTTCAAAGACCTGAAATTTCTGTGCAGTCAAAGAAAATGTTGACATTAACATGGATAAATAAAAATTAACAAAATTAAAAAGAAGTTCTGTTGGGAAAAAAAAGGAGGCATGAAATAAGGAAAACCTGGCTTAGGATACCAAGAAAAATGTTTATGAAATAAAAGATCTCATTGCTTTAGTCATTTTGGAGCCAGACTGGGCAAAATCTAGTGAAAAAGGCTGGAACCTCTCGACAGAACCTTCTTAAGAATTCAGGACTTAATAATTCATGACTGGATTCATCCATCTTGGCAGGATTACTCATCTGAAAAAGATTTATTCGCAGAAAATTCCTTTCACTCTGACAAGGCAAACCCTTGCCGTCGGCAGCCTGGAAACAGCGTCCAGTAGTGTCTGCAGATAACACACTGGTATGTGGATCCCAGCGGGCTCACTGGAGGAAAATATGAACTAAATACCTGAGTTTACAGAACAAATCAGGAGCGATCATAGAAAATCCCCCGCATTCACTCATCCTGTACAGGGAACGCGTTTCATAGCACCAGTTGAAGACACATCATAAAGGCATCTCGTAAAGGCATAGGCCTCGTAAAGGCATCTCCAGATTGCTTTTCCAGCTTCTCCCTAGGATTTCCATGGGAATTACGGCTCCAGCTGCTGGCCCACGGGGAAAGAATCTACCTTCGCACGTGTCCTGACCACAGCGGGGAATTGGGGTGGGGATGAGGAGGCTGCCCTCCATGCTGTCGACCCTAGTTCAGTCCCTAGCATAGCAGTGGGTGTTCCAGGAGTGATCCCTGAGCACAGAGCCAGGAATAAGCCCTGAGCACTGCCCTATCACACCCTCCCAGTGGGGGAACAGGGACCGGTCCCTTCCAGTGTTCCCCAACTTGGCAGGCCAGGGGGAGGAGATAGGGACCTATTTCCCTGACAACTGTGGATGGATTGCAGAAAAGATTGCGGAGAGGCCTCCAGGGCTGGGATAACGCTGCATATGGCGGAGGCCCGGTTCCTTCCCCACCACCACACGTCCCTCAACTGCCACCGGGAGCCACCCCCCCGAACCTGGAGTTGGGAATTATTCCCTGAGCACCGCCCGGTGTGGCCCCCAAACAGGCAACAAACCAACAGAGGGAACTTCAGAAAAATGGAAATGAATAGAATCATAGATCTGATGGTCCTCACCTCGCCCAGCCCCATCCTGGGGCCTCCAAAAGCAGAGCCCCCACTGTGAGGCTGGCACAGACGTGACCTTTGTCCCTCCCTGTGACTGCTGCTCTCACCCATAAAATACGGAATGTCACCACACTGGTTTCAGCACGTCCTCCAGCTCTAGGGCTTCCTGACAGACCACTCTGAGGAGGGGAGAGGGGACCACCCCCCGGCCAACTCCCCCACACTCTACCCTCTTAGAGTTACTGAGTGCCCCTCCATCCCCACCTTTTGCTCATCACGGTGCTCCTGAGGCCACGGAGCCATTTCCAGTGCTCCAGCCTGGTCTGTGTCATAGCTATAAGGTAGTGCAGTTACTTGGGCTGAGAAAAAGACGAAGATGCTTGTGGTACTGAGCCCAGGGAACACAGCACACGGGGGTGCAGGAAGGAGGGCTGCGGAGAGGGGGTGGCAGACACAGACACCAGCCCTCCCTACTGATCTGGGGGGGCAGGACAGGAGGAGATTTGGGGGATGCTCTGCGTGAGGTACCTTTTAGGTGTGTTTTTAAGGAGCTCCCTTCCTCTTTCCTTTCCTCCCTTTTCCACACCTGGCAGTGCTCAGGACTTCCTCCTGGCTCTGTGCTCAGGGGCCATTCTGAGCGCTGCTCCTCAGATGACCACAAGGGGTGCTGGGGATGGAACCAGGGCCAGTTATATGCTTTAACCCCTGTCCTATCTTTAGGCCATTTTTATTTTATTTATTTATCTATTTTTTTGCATTTTGGGTCACACCTGGAGATGCTCAGGGGTACTCCTGGCTCTGCACTCAGGAATTACTTCTGGTGGTGCTCGGGGGACCAGACGGGATGCTGGGAATCAAACCTCCATGCAAGACCACATGCAAGGCAAACGCCCTCCCCACTGTGCTATCGCTCCAGCCCCCTTGTTGTTTTTTAAATGTTTCACCTTTCACCACCTCCCTTTTCGGGTGAGAGCCTGGACACTGAGGCACCACAAATCACCAGCCTCAGCCCCCAGGGCCCACTCGCCCTGCCAAGCTCTGGTCTGTTTCCTGCCTGGGAATCTTGGGGCGGCACCCCTGCTCACACCACGCGAGGCCCTAGAAACACCCGATCCTTCATTCTGTTTCAAGGCCCAAGGAAGTCAATGAGAAGAGCCAGGGGTGGCTGGAAGCAGGGCCTGGCTTATGGCTTCCTACCGATGTGGCGGCCACGGAGAATTTGTGGTTATTTCCTTCCCTCTGGAGAAAAAAAATGCCCACCAGGGTGGCAGAGGCGAAGGTCCCATGAAAGTCACGCAAGGTGTCCCCGCACCTACGGCCTCGACTTACAAGACTGCCTTTCTTTATGGGGGGGGCTGAGGGTGGTGGCTGTCAAGATGCCGCTGGGATACGTGGCACCTTCCTATCCACTGTGCAAGTGGTGCAGCTACCGTGGCACCACAGCTGTCCCCCGGGCCTGCTCTGTGGAGACACATATTTGATCTTCCTGTAGCTCTTCCTGTGCTGAGGAAGCGGCTGACAACGGTGCCCATGTGAAGGAGGAGGACACGTGGGCAGTTCAGGGATCAGCGGAGACGTGCAGATGCCGATATTCGTTCAGGACACGTAGCAAAGCATCCACATGGGCTGCCCGGGGCCTGCAGCCACTAACGGGGGCACCAGTTTCCAGACGGGGGGGAAGGAGGGCCCAGAGAGGAGCTCAGCTTGTCTGCCTCATCCCTCCTCTCCCTGGCCGCAGGCTGTGGTCCCCACAGGCCCACTCACCTGACAGGCGACTCCTGAGCTTCATTTTATTGCTGCCCTGCTTGGGACTCTCCAGGTTCCCCTTGAGGTCCTCCTGCGACTCGTCTGACCCCAGCATCTGAAACAGAGAGAGCACAGCACTGACAGGCTGTTCCCATGGGGCTCTGGGAGCCACGTCTGGGTCACATGAGAAGAGGGGTTCAGGGGGCAAAGGCCGGAGCTGCAGCTCGGCACGCAGCGGGCGCCACACCGGAAGGGGCCTCATACCAGGTGTTTCTTTTTTTTTTTTTTTTGTCTTTTGCTTTTTGAGTCACACTCAAATGGCAATGCACAGGGGTTACTCCTGGCTCTGCACTCAGGAATAACTTCTGGCAGTGCTCAGGGGACCATGCGAGATGCTGGGAATCAAACCTGGGTCGGCCTCGAGCAAGGCAAACTCTCTACCCGCTATGCTATCGCTCCAGCCCCTCTTTTTCTTTTTTTGGAGGGGAGCTCCCCAGTTTTGCTGGGGCCATCCGGGCACTCCACAGCCGTTCCCAGAAGGGAGCCTCTGGGTGCACTCCAGAGCTCAGAGCATTGGCCCCAGCCCCTGTTTCATATCTTGAGGATTTACGTTGGTCAGGAGCACACAGGTGGCCGTGAAGGCAAAGTTGGGGGTCCTGAAGGCAGCTGGTGCTTCCTACCAGGGGAGTGCCAGCCAGCAGGAAGGCTGAGGTGGAAACTCAAGCCTCGAATTCTTGCTGTTGTTGTTCTCAGGGACAATAAATGCACCTATCAGTGCTCAGGGTCCACTCCTGGCTCTGTTCTCAGGGATTATTCCCGGCAGTACTTAGGGGACCATATATGAAGCTGAGGGCCTGAGTGATGGCATAGTGGGTAGCGCGCTTGCCTTGTACACATCCAACCCATGTTCGACAATTGGCACCCTTGAGCCCACCAGGGGTGATCCCCGAGCACTGCCAGGTATGGCCCTCAAACAAACAAACTCTGGACTATTCCATATATGGTGCCGACACGAACCAAGAGTGGTCGTGAGCAAGGCAAGTGCCTCACCCACGGAACTACTGCTCTGGCTTCGCCAAGCCTACAATTCTTTTCAATAAAAATCATTTTTGAGGCAGTTATAATAGTATTAAAGTTGATAGTTTTGAGACATAATGCCTACAGTTCCCCCAGCAGAGTGCCTATGACCCTCCACCAACTGTCCCTTCTTCTCTCTGAGTCAGGGTTTCTCCTTCCTTCTTACATTTTTTTTTTTAATTTTATTGAATCACCGTGAGATAGTTACAAGCTTTCATGTCTGGGTCACAATCACACAATGATCGAACACCCATTCCTCCACCAGTGCACATTCCCCACCACCAATATCCCCAGTATACCCCCCCCCCCTTTCCCACCCTCCCCCTGCCTCCATGGTGGAGAATATTCCCCATATCTCTCTCTACTTTGGGGCATTATGGTTTGCAATGCAGACACTGAGAGGTTGTCATGTTTGGTCTATTATCTACTTTCTGCACACATCTCCCATCTCAACTGATTCCTCCAGCCATCTTTTTCTTAGTGATCCCTGCTCTATTCCAGCTGCCTTCTCCCCTTTGCTCATGAGGCAGGCTTCCAGCTATGGAGCAATCTATCTGTCCCGTATATCTACTGTCCTTAGAAGTCAGCCTCATGTTATGTTGTTTTATGCTTCACAAATGAGTGCAGTCCTTCAATGTCTGTCCCTCTCTTTCTGACTCATTTCACTTAGTATAATATTCTCCATGTCTATCCATTTATAAGCAAATTTCATGACTTCATCTCTCCTAACAGCTGCATAGTATTCTATTATGTGGATGTACCAAAGTTTCTTTAATCAGTCATCTGTTCTAGGGCACTTGGGTTTTTTCCAGATTTTGGCTATTGTGAACAGTGCTGCAATGAACATATAGGTACAGATGTCATTTCTATTGTGCTTTTTTATATCTTTGGGATATTCTCAGAAGTGGTATTGCGGGGTCATATGGAAACTCAATTTCTAGTTTTTGAAGGACTGCCCATATTGTTTTCCAGAAAGGCCGGACTAGTGGGCATTCCCACCAACAGTGAAAGAGTGTCCCTTTTTCCCCACATCCATGCCAGCACTGGCTAGTTTAGTTCTTTTGAATGTGTGCGGGTCTCTATGGTGTGAGATGATATCTCATTGTTTTTATTTGCATCTCCCTGATGACTAGTGACGTGGAACACTTTTTTTTATGTGCCTTTTGGCCATTTGTATTTATTTTTTGAGGAAATTTCTGTTAATTTATTCTCCCCATTTTTTGATGGGGCTTCTCACATGTTTTGGTACCAATATGAAGGGACACATCATTCAATACTGTGGATCCCCAGGGTTTCTCTCAAAGGCAAGTGAGATAAACCAGTAGCGGTACTCCTTCTACTCACTTATTTTGCTTAACACAGTGCCCCCCAATTCCACCCGTGTTACAGCAAACCACCCTCTGATTATATGTACCGCAGCTCTCACAGAGACTCCTCCTCTTGCCATCCACTGACTCCCACCCCCACAACACAAAAACACTCATTGGAAAGGACATATGCACTCTTATGCTCACCGGAGCACTTTGGACAATAGTTGGGCTTGGGAACAACCCAAATATTCAAATCTGGATGAATAAGTCAATTCAAAGATTCTTAAAATGCAGAAAAGCAATTTGGTGGCAGCCCAAACACTACAGCCCTGGGTCCAGCAGATTGTACCGGAGCTATTCCCCACCCCCAACCAAGTCTGGATGAGACTAGTCTGGTCCATGGTACCAGATCCCAAGGGGCAATGATGTAGAAAGGCTGGATCCAGGCCTGGCTGGGCCCCCCTCCTCCTTATGTCAAATAAGCCTCAAGAAACCCTTTTCTTTGTGTGTGTTTGTGTGTGTGTGTGTTTGTGCGTGTGTTTGCGTGTGTGTGTTTGTGTGTGTGAGTCCATGTGTGTGCATGTATGTGTGTATGTGTGTGTGTGCGTGTGTGTGTGCGTGTGTGTGCATGTGCATATGTGCTTGTGTGTGCTTGTGTGTGTGTGTATTTATCTGGAAAAGGGGCATTGAGTCACACCTGGTGACACTCTAGGGCTCCTCCTGGCTCTGTGCTTGGGGGGAGGTTGATCACTGCTGACAGTGCTCAGGGATTAAACCAGGGTTGACCACCTTCAAGGTAAGCTCCTGGACCCCTATACTATCTCTCAGGCCAAACCTAGGTACTTAGAGAAGAACAGGTAGCTTCGATGTTATGGAGAGTTTATTAAAAATTGGGGAGGGGGAAGAAGATTGGGATATGTATAAAACTTATGATATACATCAAACAAGAGAGTGCTCTCATTTGAAATCTTATTTCCCTTTGAAGTTCTGGAGGGGGAAAAAGTTCTAATAATTAAAGTAGGTAAGATTCACACCAAGGAAGTTATGTACTTTTACAAGATATAGAAGGTATCTTTCAACACTTAGCAGTCATTGGAGTCATGTAATTATGATGTTAAAAAAAACAACTGTCTTGAATTCTAAAAAGGTAATAAGCATTATCTATTAGACTCAGTGTACGAAAATGTACACAAGTAAATGGTGAAAGTCATCTCCCAAGTAACTTCCCCTTTAAGCAGAACTGTTTAGGGTCAGGAGATAGTACAGTGGTCAGGGCGCAAGGCTAGTATACGCATGTCCCGAATTTGATTCCTGATGGTGCCTAGAGTATCACTGGATGCAGTTCTGGAGACCCATGACCATAGTTAGATATGACCCCAGAGTGCCACAGGGCCCTGGGTATCTTTCCAGCCTAGGCAGCATTGTGTTCTTAGGCCATTGGTGCCCTGCTGACCCCAAATATCTGGTGGCATCTCCAACTGTGGAATCCCCTCCAAGAAAGGAAGTTCTCATTTGATAAGAATATTAAATATAACCTCATATTCTCTCAAGGATTTTTTTTTTCATTTAGGGTCATACCTGGCGATGCATGGGGGTTACTTCTGACTCTGCACTCAGGCATTACTCCTGAAGGTGCTCGGGGGATCGTATGGGTTGCTGGGAATCGAACCCAGGTCGGCCTCATGGAAGGCAAAACCCCTACCCGATATGCTATCACTCCAGCCTCTCAAGGATCTTTCTGAATGAGGGAGCTGGAGGAAATTCCCAGGACTTAAGGAGACAGAGGGAAACAGAGGAAGGGGGAATTAGGAAAGCAAACCAGACTGGTACACCAAGATAAATCTGCAGTGAACACTGTCTTGGGCAGGGTGGCAGTTCTCCAGGCTCAAAGGACAAAGCCAAGACTAGGATCCGGAGGATGGTTTTAGAGAAGGGGGTGGAGAAGGAGGGGTATGATGTTACCCCCCCCCCCCCCCCAAGTCCTGACATGAATCCAAGATGTGAATCCACACCCGTGCTCTGCCGTGGCCTGCTGGAGGCCAGCAAGCAGAAATAATCCCAGCAATGCCCGGGGGCGTCGCAGTGTTTGGTTTAAACTTTGCTTTGCAGAAAGAACCTGTCTGCAGATGGTAAACGGTAATTACCTGAGAGGACTCAAGTTCCTGGTTCTTTCCGGTTAGGCTGCCCAGCTGCCTTCCACCCCCAAGATGGGAGGAGCAGGCCCTGGCCCCTTTGGTGCCCACAGAGTAGGTGGCTCATCACAGGGGCCAAGGTCTGAAGCCCAGGGAGCCTGTCTACTCTGCTGCTCCCACTGGGGAGGACGATCCTAGCCCCCGGGGCATCACCCCACCCTCCCCCAGATTCCAGGAGGCAATTCTTGTTATGTTTACAGCACAGTTCCCCATCTCCATACCTTCTATGCTAGCACAGACATTGTTTTTGTTTGGTTTTGTTTTGATTGGGGACCACATCTGGCAGTGCTCAGGACTTACTTCAGGCTCTGCACTGAGGGAATCATTCCTGGTGGTGCTCAAGGGACAATAAGGGATGCTGGGGATCGAACCCGGGCTGTGCTTTGTGCAAGGCAAGAGCCCTACCTGCTGTCCCTCGTCAGAGACATTTGGAAGACAATAACAACAGTTTGTGAGCAGAAAGGTGTGTCCTGTCCCAGGCTACACCTTCAAGGTGACCCCAACTTTCAGCCCTACCTGCCCCTCAACCAAAGATG